CACTGTGTTTTGCCACACGTGTGCAATAGACTCCCAATGCTTTCCTATGGGAATTGAATTGGCGTTGACTGAGATCATCCAATTGACAGCCAAAGTGAAGAGCACACTCTTGTTACTTCAAAATGAGCAAGATAACGTCATATTTTTACTGCTGTGCAATAGCATACATTTACAATTTCAGTCCAATTCCGAAACTTTCCTTAATATGTCAAGGTAGTTGGACTAAAACATTGATTATATGCAAATGCACGTCTGCTTACAACAAATCCGCTCATTTGTTTATTTTGAAGCCCTATGAGTGCTTTCTTTCACGTTTGAGTGATCGTTTTCATTTTTTTGTTTTTTTTTTCCCGCTTTCATATCTGCACACTATGCTGGCGCAATGCATTATGGGGCTATTATAGAATTTTTTTCCATGGCTGATTTTCATTCCCAGTCTGACTTTGCCCACCGGTGAGGGATACCCCGGAATCTCGGCTTGGTGTGACACTGGCTACAACTAAGCACGCTCTCACCTGTGGCAGCCAGCTTACCGTAAGCAAGATGGTGGGCAAAACAAATGCGCCTGCACCACGAGACAAGCACTGCGCTCTCATGGAGAAACTGGATAACTTATTTGCTGACGTGACTTCTACACCAAACTCGCATGTTGCCTGGGCACAATCGAGGCAGACCCGCTGACACAACCCCTACACCGAAACGACCAACAGCCAGTAACTTCTGGGCGATGCTCTGACGCAGTATTGAAAGTGCAGAAACAGAAGCGGGTGCCCCTGAGAGCATTTCAGCACCGAAGGCCTGGTCCTGCTATGGACCATCTTTCTATGCCATGGCCTAAATCGGGACAGATCCCTACTCACAGCTCACTACCTCGGATGGCCACCACTCCTCCTACGAAGCAACCTGATAGTGGGCAAGTCGTTACCTGTTAGTTAACCTAGCGTAAAATGTTTGTGTAGAGCCAACCTTTGGTCTCACTGCTGATACTACAATCCGACTCATGCCAGTGAACACATATATGTCCAAGTTATGTACTTCCTTATAAAACACTCACAATGTCTGGAATTAGTTTGCTAATCTTACGTAACTTTTCTTTAACAAAAATAGTGCTGGTATGTATTTGCCATGACTATTATGTGTTTTGAGAAGCCTGCTCATGCTGTTGTGGCATGACAAGCGTGTTGTAACTTACGGCACTGAAAAAAAAAAAAGAAAGACCAAAAAAAATGGTATGCAAACATTTGAGCACAATTGTATGCAATTTTTTACATTTGGGCTTTAAAGACATTTAAAGACTTAAAATGTTAATATATCTATTGATAAAAACATTGCCATAAATTTAAGAAAAATCACTTCTTTGTCCATTTCCAGTTCTCAGATGCTCCAAACTGAGCAGAAACCTCTCCTTCTATTGCAGTGTAGACAAAACAATACAAACACTTTGTTGTTTGCGGAGCCATGTTTTAAGCATCAGTGTCGCTTTTGTATTTTTCATTAAGTCAGAATCGTTATGAAAAATGTCCTAACAGAGCTCTGAAATTGAACAGAAGTTCCAGTGCAATCGAAAAAAACCATACATAAGACAAAGTCTAATGTAAGCCATCATTTTTGAGAAAAAAAATGGCAAAGGGCAGAACTACAAACAGTTTATACTGTGACATTTTGCAGTTGCAGATGGGAGCAGATATTTTTTTTGTGTGATGCACAATAGTGCCTTTGGTAAAATAATGTGGATTGTACACTAAAATTCCTCATTTCATTTGATGTTGGGGATACCCAAGTAATCATCTTGTTATGGATTAATACACATAAAACAAACAATTTCCAATATCACATCTGTTTGTTCACAAATTCCTTTTATACTGCACTGATAATTTCTTTGCTAATCAACAGGGGAATTACATTGAACCATCAACATTCTATATATACTGTCTTCAGTGTATGAGCAATGAATTTCCCATTTAATACTCATTCTACTGGAACGATCCTTGTGCTTTTAGTTTTCATAGTCTCCCAACAGCTAGTTCACAGTTTCCTGGCAATATTATGCTTATTGGAAACTCCTGACGTTATTGAAACTCTTATTTACTGATCATGTTTGGTATTTCTGACTACCTTTCTTTCTGTAAACATGACCTCAGCCGTTATGCCAGCCACCTCTCATGAAGTGGTTCCTTTACTTTTTATCTTTCTGTGTTTTCATTTGAAGTTAGTTCTTATAGTTTATATTCAGTATATGCAGGACTGGTTCATGGAATTGTGGATACACATGCTAAGATGCATTTGATGCATTTCACTGCCCACCTAAAATGTGTCTTCACTTGTGTATCTCTTAAACAACCCCCACATTGGCGCAGTCATGGTTATTGCAGGGCATGTACCAGTTTCAGCAGGAGGGAAAGAAGGCTATTGTTGTGTGACACTCTCCCAGGAGAAAAGCGAAGCAGCAGCGTGAGAAGACTCGTTGCTAGAGAAAAAGGTAGGAACATTTTTTTGGGGGAACGGGGAGATGATGGGGTAGCACCTGGGGTTAAGGATTACCCAAATCGTTAAAACCATATTTTAGCTTTTAACATTGATGGGGTCTCTTAAATGTATGTTTGTTATATTTATATTTGTGTATATATTATAAAGATCAAATACATATCGATAAATGCTTATCATAAATACATTTATACATATATGCATTTTTTAATTCATAGTAAATTACAACTTAATGTATTAAAGACACAGGGACGCAAATTCACTGGCACTTAGACACAATTCTCATTAACACACCGTCTGACACACAAAGGCATAGACATGTCCATTGTCACTCACACTCACTCACTCACTCTGACATATACTCAGATAAACACTGCCCTTACTGGCAGCTGCCAGGGTTCTTTGCTATGTTATGCAACCTGATCCTTCATGCACAGCCATTCACAGAGCAAAGGCCACCTGATCTGACATTATGTATCCCAACGGCCTTGGCTCTGTGCACCGCCAGGAGCGACTGGCTGCTACCACTCCTCACACCTCCCACATCTCGCTGCAGCATTTGTTTAATAAATTCAAAGGGAACAGCAAGCGCCAGCCCAGATAATAGTGGCCCACCAGGAAATTCCCTGATATCTTAATGTTCCAGTCCAGTTCTGTACAAAATGACCAGTAGTAGGAAGGAGCTTTGTGCACCTCTCTCCTTCTGTCACACGGACTTTGTGCCCCACAGGCCCTAATGCTAGCACCAGCCCTGAGTATACAGTAAATGGAAACAGTTACATAAAAACAGTTCAGGTTACCAGTCCCCGTAGTAATAAGTAGATGGAATCAGTTACTCATTCTCAGATATTTAACAAACTCCTAATTTTAGAAAAATAAATATAAATGGCAAAATTAAGTCTGAAACCACTGATTTGGAAAATCTACTAACCTGCTGTGAAACGCTGCACATATGGAGATTAGTCCCTCTGCAGCCAAAAGTTTAATTCCAATTCTTGCAGCGCCACTGGGGGTGTCATCAGTCAGCCTGGATCTAATATTCCGGGCTGACTAATGTCAATTCTGTGCATATTCCTATGCACTGAATTGCAATCACTGGCTAAGAGTGGTCAGCAGATGCTCGGCCATGCAACTTGAAATTTAGTTAGTTTTTTCCCCCAAAAATGTGGTCTAACATTTGCAGATTCCTGAAACATGCATCTGAAAGGGTTGAATAAGGTTATTTACTAAAGTGAGAATTCAAAGTGAATTTCAAATGTAAGGCCAAAGTAGCTGAATTATTAGCTGATTCTTTAAGTCAGCTATACTTTCAAGTTCTGCTGCTTTGGCTTAAAATTTTAAATTCACTTTAGATACTAACCTTAACAGTTAATCCTAAGGAAATAAAAACTTAGTTTCAACCTATTGACCAAACAGATGATTTGGAAATTCTCCACTTTCGCTTACATTTTTAAATTTAATTTCCAATTCATTACAATTTACTATTTAAAAGGACACTATAATCACCAGAGCACTTCATCTCATATTGTAGTTTTTATAGAAACTGCAATAATTCCTTGCAGTACTAAGACTGCCTCCAGTGGCTGTCTATCAGACAGCCATTGGAGATACTTCCTGAATGCTAGTGGACTTGAGTCCCTCAAATGACACTGGTCGTCCTCATGCTTTCTGAGGCCATCCATCGTCAGTGAAATCCCCATAGGAAAACATTGAAGCAATACTTTCCTAAAGAGAGGCTCTAATGAGCATTAAGAGATCTAATCAACCTATTGTTCCTATAAGTTTTTTGTAATTGTCCTATTTATAGTTAAATCCCCCCTCTTATAATATTGTAAAGCGCTACAGAATATGTTGGCACTAAATATATATATATATGGCAATAATAATCATAGTGCACGGGTTTGTGCTGACTAAACTGTACAGTTTAGGGATAAAAACCAAAGAATTGCAAATATACCGGGTTATTCACTTAAGGTGAGAATTCAAAGTGAATTTCAAATTTAAATTAATTAAAAGGTAAAAAAAAAAAAAAAAAAAAAGCTGAATTTAACTAATTCTCTAAGTCAGCTTTAAGTCTGACTACTCTGAACTTATATTTGAAATTCTCTTAGGGTTCACTTCAAATTCTCACTTTAGTAAATAACCCTACTAAATGTTTCAAGACTCATATAACCGACAACTATACGGGCTAAGCAACACCTTACCCTAGACGCAGGGATAGGCAACCATCGGCACTCCAGATGTTGTGGACTACATCCCCCACAATGCTCTTACACTGTAATGCTAACAAAGCATCAAGGGAGGTGTAGTCCAAAACATCTGGAGTACCGAAAGTTGCCTATGCCTGCGGGTCCTAGAACTTGTCTGCTTGTGGAGCAAAGCATACTGTTTCGTGACATCATCCCGCGACAGGCGCACAATAAACACGCAGCCGTGGTTTAAACACTGGAGACATAATCCTGTTTATTTTTTTTCTCCCCAAATTGTCACCACTTCCGCATTCATTTAGATGAAACGTGCTTCCTGATTCACAGAGTATAATGAAGCCATGGTTATCGTAAACTGCCTGTTACACCAATGTGTGCGCTGACCCGGAGACACTAAATGGTTGCCAGCGCTTTCTCCAGTGTGTAGCGCTCTGTGAGGATGCCATAGGATACAGTGTCTCCTGGATGCTCCCTAGAGCTTCGCTGAACGCTGCACTGGGACGGCGTCCGATTAGGACCAAACTCGGTCACCTTTTTTTTTTTAATCGCTCGCCCAACCGGCGTTTTTTTTGTTTGTTTTTTTATACTCCAGTGCCATCATGAGCTACGAGCAGCGGAGGGGCTGGGGACGGGGCCGAGGGCGTGGGGGACGGGGCCGAGGGCTTTCATCCCCAGGAGACAGTGATAATGCTGGAGGAGGAAGGGAGAAACCTCCGCCTCACCTGCGAGGCCGGGATATCGGACTGTGGTATGCCAGGAGACAGGGCCAGAAGAGCAAAGAGAATGAGAGGATGGAGGTAGGCAGACAGGCAGACAGGCTGACCCCCAGGGCACCCCTCACAGTCACCGCCGGACACTGTGTGAATAGCAATGTGTGCTGTCACTCTCACTTGTTGCTCTGCATCAGGATCATTACATTGAACTTCAATCTATCCAATGACTTTATTTTTTTTAAATGTATGCTTAAAGGGACACTCCAGGCACCCAGACCGCTTCTGCCCATTGGAGTGGTCTGGGTGCCAACTCCCACTACCCTTAACCCTGCAACTGTAAATATTGCAGTTTTTTATAAACTGCAATAATTACCTCGCAGGGTTAACTCCTCCTACTAGACAGCCACTAGAGGGCTCTTCCTGGTCCATAGCACAGGTTTTCTGTGCTATAGCGTCGCTGGACATTCTCCCGCTATGTGAGGACCTCCAACGTTGCTAATATCCCCATAGGAAAGCATTGAAAAGCATTTTCATTGCTTTCCTATGAAGAGGTCTAATGCGTGTGCAAGACATTGCCGCGCATGCGCATTAGGTCTCCCCCTCCGGTGGACGGGATCAGGAGCATGGGCGGAGGAAGAAGCAGCGACGAGGGACATCGTCGTTGCCTTTGGTAATTGACTGAAGGGGTTTTCACCCCTTCAGCAACATGGGATGGGGGGTGCGAGGGAGAGGAAACCTGCAGTGCCAGGAAAACGGATTGTTTTCCTGGCACTGGAGAGTCCCTTTAATGAAGATGTTCTGGTGTCTACAGCATGTCCCTGCAGGCTTTTCAATGTAACAGGCAGTGCTTACATTACTGCCTAGTAACAGCTCCAGTGGCAGTGACTCAGACAGCCACTAGAGGCGCTTCCTGGGTAGGTGCTGCACAATGTGCACTAACATTCTGCGTCTTCACGCACTGCATGGAGGTGCTAAACGTTTCTCATAGAGCTAAATTTACTCAATGCATCTCTATGAGGAGATGCTGATTTGCGCAGCATGGCCTTTTTTGACGTGCATGTCCAATAGCCTTCCGATGCTTTTCTTTGGGAAAGCATTGGGTTGGCTGAAGTTTGATGATCTCAGCCAAGGAGGTGAAGCAGAAAGTCAGTGGAGATTTATACCTTTTTTAACCAGGGATGAAGGGGGACAGAGACCTAAATGGAGGCTTCAAAACTATAGTGTCAGGAATGCATGTTTGTATTCCTGACACTGTAGTGTTCCTTTAAAGAGAAGTGAATGCTTCTCACAGACAGCATCTACATTGGGTTATATACAGACAGAAAATAAACAAATGTGTATCTAATGTAATTTATTCAAAATTGGCATTAAAGATACCATCTGCATTGTATCTGCACGTTATTTTTTCTTTTAACCAATACTCCTGTAGAAAACATAATTGAGACACACATTTAGTGTTTTTGATAAGTGACTATTGTTATGGACAGCTCGCCTTAATTTGTGCCTTGTCATAATAAGAAAACTAATCTGTATAGTAGCCAATTATGGATTTTGGTTCACAGATGCTGTCCCTGTACTGGCGATGTTTACATTTGTTCAAGTACAGGTCTCTAGTGGCTGTCAACAGTCTTCACATTCATCATGTACAGCATGATGACGCCGAACATAAACAGTGCCTCTCATGGAGAAGCATTGGATTCAATGCCTCTGTATGAGACACATTTGATTCAATGCTTCTGTATAGTATCAAGACAAGCTTTATAGTGATTTTTAAACTTTTCGAACATACCACAATGTTTACATTTGACTGAGAACATGCCTCTTGTGGCTGTGAGGCTAACAGACACAAGTAGATTTTTGATTTTTAAATGTCTTCACTATGCTCCCAGTATTTCTTATAGAGAAACAATTGCTTGGTGAAGTATGTTATTGCCTTGCATGCATCCTATGCCTTCAGCATTGGATTGGACAAAAGTTATCAGAACCAATGACATCACTGTAGAAAAAGCAACTGCATAGTGGAGATTGGCCTAGCACTAGATTACAGGAAAGTTATTATTTTTTTTAATCTTTAAAGGGGGGGGGGCTAGTAATGTAAATAAATACAATACTCTTACATTTAAAATACATTTATGTTTAATGCAAGTATTCCTTTTATAACTTTAGAGGAATATTACTAGGATGGAAAGGTATACGAAAACCAAACAAATAAGCATTTGTATTCTAAAACATTTAAAATGTCAGTTCAGTCCGCTTCAAATAATTTTAAACAAACTGACAAATTGCATATAGCGGTACCAACTGAAGCAACATGTGTGTTTTTTTTTTGTTGTTGTTTTTTTTTTTTTTAGAGGGCTGTTGTACGAATGGATGAATCCAGAGAGGAACATATCACACGATTACTCAATGCTGTGCAGACTACGAATAACAGTGAGAAGCACACGCAGCATGAAGAATCCTGGTGGTCTACTGAAGATGAAAGGTACACTATTGCTCAAACTTTCTTGAGCTTAAAGGGTTACTCCAAGCACTATGACCACTTCAGTAATTGGAAGTGGTCATATTGCCTGGAATCTGTAAGCGCAGTGTTTCATTTTAAATTGCTGTATTATTATTTTATTTATATAACGCCAGCAAATTCCGTAGCGCTGTACAATGGGACATACTATGTTTAACCCTTTTGCTGCTGGAGATGTAACTTCACCTCTAGAAGCGAGATTCGATTCCCATTAGCCAGCCCAGAGCTGTTGGCTAATGTCAGTTATGTGCATATTCCTATGCACAGACTTGCATTCATTGGCTGAGAGCGCTGAGGTGACGCTCTCAGCCAATGGTAGGCTGGCGGATCAACCTCCATCCCCCACACCAAGCTTCTGAAATTTTTTTTTTTTTTTTACCTGTGCAGTTCTCAATATATCAATCGTTTTTCTCACTTACAATATTCTAAGAGGAGAATATAGAATGTTGTAACAATTTAATGCCTAAAATGTTTATGAAGTTCTCATATCTTTTTATAACACACCTGTTCCAGTATTAAAATGGTTTATGTTTTCAGTGTTCTACATTCCAAGCAAAAGCAGAATTTTATAGCAAATTAGTAACACATTATTGAGATGTTATAACAAATATATAACATTAGGAAGATCAGTGAACTCTCACACTAATTGTACAAAAATTATTACTGCTCGGTATGTACACACATTTTCTTCTTCTTTTATTGCCTTAGTTTTCCCCAATTACCCATGTTGCCCATAACATAATGCTCAGCCTTTTCAGTTCACTTTACTATGTTTCACCATAGAATACATAAGCGTCCTATAAACTAAATACACCTAGTTAATGTAATATATTCTAATTGGTGGTTTACTATACCTTTTAAAACTGCTCTGGCACCTTCTTTGGGTCTTCCATATTTTGCAAGGAACCATGATGCTGACATCGCCACTCTCGGTTAGGAGGCCTGAGGGAAGCATGGGTAAGTTATACTTATCTGTTAATGTCCCTCGTGGGCACCACCATCTTCAGGCTTCATGCCCCAGAAGCATACTTCAGTGTTGTATTCATGTGCAGGAGTACAACATTGATATCTATGGAGCATATTGTGAGACCGTGGGAGCCTTCATAGATATTGTCTCATGATGAGTTAGACAATGTCTTATTTCAACAGCTTTCACTGGTGACAGCTGGGGAAACTGACAGAAGATCACAAAACGAGGAGATACATCACAGATGTAGCTCCTCGTCTTGTCAACTGGATACTTTACCATAAGACAAAGTAAGCCCTACATTTTCTCAATGATATATTTTGACTGCATTGGAATTTGAATGAAGGTCTTTATGAGCAATTTCGCAAACATTGTATCTCTATGAAGTGCACAAATGATTTATTTTACTTATTTAAATTAAATGTATAATAATATATCTGCGTTTCTACAGTCAATAAATAAGGGGTGGGGTTTCTGCATGAGAAGTGCACTGTGAAAAGTCAATCAGACTTGCCTGGATCAATATTTCAGTCTCAAACTGAAGCTGATCAATATTCACATTTTACTGTTTATAAGCAATACAGTCCCATAGAGAATGCAATTTGTTTTTAGGATCAGGTAGACAAGATACATTTCTATTATTAAATATGCAATCTGCTTACATAGATTACTCTGATTTATAGTAATATTATTGTTTTAAATGAATTTATAACTTAGAAACATGGTTTGGGGGAATCACCATTGAGCTTGATATTGTCCTTAGTTTATTCTTCTCGCACACATGCATTTCTAATTATGCAGATCTATTTTTATTTTTATTCAACCTGTTTATTGTTTTTTTAGGAACGACCCTAGTCCTCCACCAAGACGAGCAACTGTTAACAGTGAGAAGCACAAAATTTTCAGTCAAGAAAATGAATCCAGTAATGATCTAGACAGACAGCTGATAGAGGACCTTCTAAAGAAGAGAACAGACTATCGATATCTTGAAATGCAGGTGCTTATTTGTATCATACACCATTACGGAGGCATATTGCTGGTTCATGGACACCTACCATAGTTTTGGATGCCTACTGTTGTGTCCCTACTTCTCTTTTCTCTGTAATGTCTTTCTCTCCAAGCCAAATACCCCCAGTGCCAACAAATCACATAAATGCTTTATTATCCTTTAACCCTTTAAGGACACATGACATGTGTGACATGTCATGATTCCCTTTTATTCCAGAAGTTTGGTCCTTAAGGGGTTAAAGGTAGTGCTGGTCCTTGGATGGCATTGTTCATTTTTTTTATTGTTGAGCTCACTCTGTTTGTAAGAATACTTAAGATCGATCAGTACCAGTAAGTTGCCTTTTCCTAGCATATAGTGACAGTACACATGTGATGTTCTTACTTGTACTGGACTAAACCAAGACAGCTTGTTCTTTTCACTCCATAAATTGCCATCCAGTCACAGACTACACCAGTTCTTACTTGTGCTGCGAGCAGGACGGACGGGCTGCTCGGTCTTTTGCAAGTATTGGTGAAGCACCACCCCAGGTGGTAAGCTGCATGACGCCGGCCTCCAAACCCTTTGGGGATATGGAACACCGTAACAAGTTCCTCTTATATGGCCACGTTTCCGGCGAAGCAGTAATTTATCTTTTGGTTATACAAAGAAAAGGCCAAATTTGTGAGTAATGCAGAGCTGGCTTCTAGTGATAAATTAATTATTTTAAGTAACGAGCGGGAGCTCGGTTTTTATGATCCTTTTTTTTTTTTTTTTTTTTTTGGCTTTTTCCCACCAGCTTTTATAGTGTTCTTGATTGTATGGACTCCAGTATATAGTAACCGTAAAACTGACCTGTATGATTTATTGAGTGCAAAGAGGGAATGTCTGCAAATATTGCCTCTAGCTCTGAAAGATTCCTAGGATACAAGAAGAGACTTTCAAAATGGAACACACAGCAGCAGTATTACATGCCTTATTACTGCCAATATGTTTTTTAGTGAATTAATGTTTTTTGTTTTGTTTGGTTTTCTCCCATTAGAGATTTCGGGAAAAATTGCCTTCCTTTGGCATGAAAGAGGTAAGAACATATTAGATAATCATAGTCTTTAGTCTCAGTTTGCAAAAAAGTTTTAGAGAGCAGTAGTTTAGACGATCTACACAGGCTTCTTTATTCTTTTTGTTTTAGGAGATAATGAAAGTTGTAAATTCAAACCAAGTGACCGTTATTAGTGGAGAGACTGGCTGTGGGAAGACCACTCAAGTCACACAATTTATTTTAGATGACTACATCAACAAGAGTAAAGGATCTTCATGTAACATTGTATGCACCCAACCAAGGAGGATCAGCGCCATTTCAGTAAGTTAACAAATACCTTGGATATTTTGTGGATGTATGTTTTACCTCTTTATTGTCTGTGCTAAGAGGTGCTACTGCCTCATACAACCTTTGATATACACATATTACAGGCAACAGGCAGAGGTATAAATTACAAATATGACAGCGGCACATCCTCCCTACACCTAGAATACCACATATAAAAACATAAAATGTGTTGGCGGATAAAAAAACATTTGGCCTATCTAGTCTGCCCAGTTTTCTAAATACTATCATTCGAATGTACCTTACCTTAAAGGGATTCTGTAGTGCCAGGAAAACAAACCCGCTTTCCTGGCACTGTAGGCTCCTACACTGCTTGCAACCCCTTTAGTCACTTACCTAAATCCAGCACCGATGTCTCTCGATGCTGGGTCAGGCTCCACCCCCGTCAGCCGGCGGGGGAGACCTAATTTGCATGCGCGGCAATTGCCGCGCTCGCATTAGGTTTTCTCCATAGGAAAGCAATATTCAAAGCTTTCCTATGGGGGAAAAATGTGACGCTGGAGGTCCAATGCAGAGCGTGAGGACGTCCAGCGTCCGATAATGGACCAAAGGTCCTTTTCGATTCTGGAAGTCCCTGTAGCGTCTGTCTGATAGAAAGCCACTAGAGGTACAGTTCACCCTCAGAGATAATTATTGCAGTTTCTCAGAAATTGCAGTAATTACTATTGCAGGCTTAAGGTACATGGGACATTGCACCCAGACCACTTCAGTGAGCTGAAGTAGTCTGCCTACAGTGTCCCTTAAGTCTAGGATAGCCGTATGCCAATCGCACGCATGCTTAAACTCCTTACTTTGTTAACCTCTACCGCTTCAGCTGGAATACTATTCCATGTGTCCACTACCCTCTCAGTACAGTAGTACTTCCTGATAATATAAAACTTTTGCCCCTCTAATTTAAGACTGTCCTCTTGTGGTAGTTTTTCTTCTCTTAAATATAGTCTCCTCCTTTACTGTGCTGACTCACTTTATGTATTTAAATATTTCTATCATATCCCCCCTGTCTTATCTTTAATTCAAACTATACATGCTAAGGTCAAGCCATGGATTTACCATGGATTCAGATATCTCTACAGGTACAAATTAAACACAGAATTACAGAACATGCAGTGCCAAAAGCTAAAGAGGCTAAGTAAAGTGTTTTTGTGTTTACTTACTAAAACTATAGCATCTCAAAATGCTTAGCATTGTTCAAATACTGTGAAATGCATGCAGTCTGCATTCATTCACTCTGTTGACATTCTAGGGATTTATTTCTCACAATGTAAGAGTGATATTTATTGATTTCACTAAATTGGGCCTAATCCTCTATATGTTAATGCATGGTAAACGTGTTTTTTTTTCATTCATAAATATTTATGCCACCTTTCCTCCAAAAAGAGGTATATTTGTAATTTCCAGTGACCTAGCTTATAATGGTCCATCTGTGGCTTGCTCAGCATCACAATCTATTGTTTACAACATATGGCATACATGTCTTCATTCCCTTTAGAAGTCAAGATATCATATTCTGTTCATTGTGTATAATATACAGTATATATGTATTTAGTTAAGCACTCGAAATGGTTAATGTTGTTTAACATAGGTAGCAGAGCGCGTGGCAGCTGAAAGAGCAGAGGCCTGTGGAAGAGGAAATAGTACAGGCTACCAAATTCGTCTTGAAAGGCAAGTGATGGTTGTTTCATTCGTGCCCAAATGGTTTTTGTATAAATTCCCTCTTCACAACAAATTTCAATATGTATATTAAAGTTCTGGGTCTATTATGTATTGTACTGCTCTCTGCGTTCCTGAGAAAACTATTTAAAATGTATGATATTAAACTTGTCCACAACTATTTTGGGGGGTAGCTGAACTATTCTTGTAGCTTTTAGAGTTTAAATAAGAAATGGGGGTGTGGACAAAAGCAACACAAGTACAGATCTGTTTTATGGGCTTCAAAATCACTTCAAAGCTATAACATTGTTTGTGAGATCGAGACTCAATGTATGCTCAGTTACTAATGGTGAATTTAATGAAACTAGAATCTTGTTGGTGACGTATCCCTTAACATTTTATGTGAGGAGGAAGCAATTATCGACCAAAATATTAGATGTACCATTGTCACCTTTTGGCATTGAAAAGTTTTCGGTCTTCATAATACATTTTGTGTCAGTTTGGATGTTTTGTTTCCTACGTTATTTTTCTCTCTAACATACTCTGTTCTTTTTCTCATTGATAGCCAGTTACCACGGAAACAAGGCTCTATTCTATACTGTACAACTGGCATAGTGTTACAGTGGCTGCAATCAGACCAGTAAGTGCTTAACTGTTAAAGATAATTTGGTTTGCCAGTAGACTAAGCATTTTCACATGTGACTTTCTTGTTTCAGGAACTTGGGCAATGTCAGTCACCTTGTAATAGATGAAATCCACGAGAGGAATCTGCAATCTGATGTTCTAATGGCGATCATTAAAGATCTTCTTATCCGTCGGAAAGATCTGAAAGTCATATTGATGAGTGCCACTCTAAATGCAGAGAAGTTTTCACAGTATTTTGGTAAGTCACATATTTGATCTATGAAACTTTCATTTAAAAAGATCTGTTGATCCTGTCCCCTTAACAGCTTATTGATCACCTCAAATGCATTCTGGATTAAAGCGGCTGTGTCACAGACAAACTATTTTTCTTTTCAATCTCCGCCAACCCCCCTTATTGTTCAACCCCTAGCCTTTCCATCATTCTTTTCTCCCTTATCACCTCCCTTTACCTCAAATTTGGATAAGCTTCGCTCGATTCTTTTTCATGGTACCGCCATCTTGTAAGTACTGATATTGACGTAACATCAAAGTCTTCCTCTATCCAGAGTATGCTACGGCACTGAAATAATACAAGAAGGTGAGGCAATGAATGTAGGCCAGGACAGGACCAAGTGGAGCTTAGTTAAGGTTCACCCTTTTGTCACAGTTGTCAAGCATAGGAAAAATACATAAGACAAAGTAGCCTCTATGTTTTAAAAGAGAAATAGAGTAGAAATTAAGCAAAGATTTGGAAAGAGGAAGGGTAAGTTTGAGGTGACTGTCACTTTAACACTCTTAGTTGCAATCATTCTATTTGAACACTTTGTTTGTAACTGAACTTTGTTTGAAATACAGTGCCTTGTTGAATATGCATATTTTTAACAATTCTTTTTTTGAGGAGTGGGGGTTAAATCATGCAAATCCATAACCAGCTACTACAAAAAAGTAATTTATGTTGTATGACTGATAAAGCTTCTGAATGTAATATTTATTTTAAAACATGTCCACATTTACATTTGTATATCTTTTCATATACTCATTCTTGACACATTTTCTAAACGTAAACATTTATGAGTACTATTTCTCAATAGAGATGTCGCGAACCGTTCGCGAACTTCCCGTGAACTGCTCGCCGCGGTTCGCCACGAACCGTTTGCGGCGAGCTCCGGTCGGCTGACACATCCCGGCCAATCTCCAGCAGACCCTCCCTCCCAGACCCTCCCACCTCCTGGACAGAATCCATGTTGAAGCTGCGGGAAGTTCGCGACATCACTATTTCTCAAGCAGTAAATGAGTGAAAAAAATATATATTTCTGTGCCTCATGAAAGGTGAATTGTGACCTATTATCCGATTTAATCATGTTTATTTCAAAATATGTGATATATTATATGTGGCTTTGTCCTCTACAGACAACTGCCCAATGCTGCATATCCCTGGATTTACATACCCTGTGAAAGAGTACCTCCTGGAAGATATCATTGAAATGTTACAGTAAGTATGTCACTGAGCTTTTTTTTAATGTTCTATCTAAATTGTAAAAGCTAAACTGTTAATTTCGGAGTTGTCCTGACTAAAGAATACTAATAAAAAAAATCAATGAAGACTTTATGGTCAGGAGAGTGCTGCTTACATACAAGTGAGGACTTGAGATGTTTTGAGTTTCAAGGGAAAAAAGTGTGTGTGCTCTTATTTGAAAAATGTAAGTGTGTGTGTGTGGACTGAAATGTTGACAGATCAATAAAGGATTTTTCTATACACTTAAAGGACCACTGTAGGCACCCAGACCACTTCAGCTCAATGAAGTGGTCTGGGTGCCAAGCCCATCTAGGGTTAACCCTGCAGCTGTAAACAGCAGTTTCATAAAAACTGCTATGTTTACATTAGGGTTAATCCAGCCTCTAGTGGCTGTCTCATGACAGGCGCTAAAGGCGCTTCTGCGCTTCTCACTGTGAAAATCACAGTGAGAAGATGCTGACGTCCATAGGAAAGCATTGAGTAATGCTTTCCTTTGGACTGATTGAATGCGCGTGGGTCTTGCCACGCATGCGCATTCAGCGCAGACGTCAGAAGAGGGAGGAGATTTCCCCAGCGCCGAGGGAGCCCGTGATTAATCCCCTTCCTTCCCCTTCAGCCCGGCGGGAGTGGGACCCTGAGGGTTGGGGGGACTTAAACGAGTTTGTTTTCCTGGCACTATAGTGGTCCTTTAAGAAGTCCAGTGAGTGTGCTCTTATATGAAAAACTTTGTTTATTTATATATATATATATATATATTTTTCATATAAGCACACACTCACAGGACTTAAGTGTATAGAACAATCCTTTATTGATCCGTCAACATTTCAGTCCTCCCTCAAGACAAAGTACAAAAAAAACACGCAATACTCTTTAAACGTTTAAGTAGCCTGGAAAATGTAAAAAACCAAACAGACTGTGAAAAAGAGACCATGTGGCCTCAAGATAAACATCCTCTGTGACTTGGAAGCGCAATAAAGCAATAATTTAAAACCACATATATAATTGAAAAAACTATTACAGAGTCACCATATAAACTATCACCTTATGAACAAGTGTATATGAAAATATCACTACCACAATATCTCGCAAACAATAATACATAACTGTGTACATCAAGTTACAAAGCGAAGCAGAGCTCAGGGAAACAGGACATGTAAACACAACATTTCAAAGTATATTATCTTATAATAACATAATTTATAACCTGTAAATTAAGCATCTCTAAGTCTAAGTATATACTCCCCATCCATAAGAAAGTATAAGCTTGAGCAGTGGACATACATATACAGCAATCGATACTTCAAATAAGAGCCAGTAACTTATATCCCAGGCACGGGAGGCCTATAATAAAGAATACTTTAAGCATACCTGAAAATTCATAACTTTCGAGCAAAGGAATCAGAAAACTGATCACTTGTAGATAGATCCCCTTGAAAGTGGAGAGGGATGATGATGTCAGTCACATAACTCTGAATTTCTAGTGCCCGAATGAAATAAAATACAGCAGGCTCCCTCCTACAGGGGAAGATCACACTGCTAAAAAAAATACCTAAGTCCCACAAAAATATGTATACACAACAGCTCAGACCAACTAAACCGTGCAATATGTACAGAAAAGTATGCAAAAAACAAACAGGAGGCAGTAAAACAAGTCATTTCTAGATAAACTTCACCTGCAGGGGGAGGTGATGTCAGACACAGAACTATAGATTTCTAGTGCTCTAATAAAATTAACTACAGGCAATCTCTCCCTGCAGGGGGAGAAAAAAGAAAAATGACTTAAGCCCCACAAAAGTATGTTTACAAAGGCCCAGTTTAACTAAATAATGCAACAAACAAACAGGAATATGCCAAAAAAAAAAAGTAGCATGCAATGATGAGAAAACTAAAAACAATACATTTTTGGGTTAGAAAGCTAGTTACATAGCTGAAAAGAGACTTGCGTCCATCAAGTTCAGCCTTCCTCACATTTGTTTTTTGCTGTTGATCCAAAAGAAGGCAAAAACACCCAGTTTGAGGCACAATTTTGCAACAAGCTAGGAAAAAAATTCCTTCTTGACCCCAGAATGGCAGTCAGATTTATCCTTGGCTCAAGAAGTTATTATCCTAGATTGAAAGATTATATCCTTGAATATTCTGTTTTTGCAAGAATGCATCTAGTAGCTGTTTGAACATCTGTATGGACTCTGATAAAACCACTTCTTCAGGCAGAGAATTCCACATCCTGATTGTTCTTACAGTAAAAAAAACCTTTCCTATGCCTTAGACGAAATCTTCTTTCTTCCAGTCTAAACGTATGGCCTCGTGTCCTATGTAAAGTCCGGTTAGTGAATAGATTTCCACACAATGGTTTGTATTGGCCCCGAATATATTTGTATAATGTTATCATATCCCCTCTCAGGCGACGTTTTTCTAAACTAAATAGGTTTAAATTTGTTAACCTTTCTTCATAGCCGATATGTTCCATTCCTTTTATTAATTTTGTAGCCCGCCTCTGCACTTTTTCTAGTGCCATAATATCCTTCTTTAGAACAGGTGCCCAAAATTGCACAGCATATTAAATATGGGGTCTTACCAGTGATTTATAAAGAGGCAAAATGATATTCTCGTCCCGAGAATGAATGCCCTTTTTCATGCATGACAATACCTTACTGGCCTTGGTCACTGCTGATTGACATTGCACATTGTTGCATAGTTTGTTGTCTATAACAATTCCCAAGTCCTTTTCGTGTGTTGTTATCCTTAATTTGCTTCCATTAAGGGTATACGTTGCTTGTGTATTCTTTACGCCGAAGTGCATAACTTTGCATTTTTTCAACATTAAATTTAATCTGCCATTTGAGTGCCCAGTCCCCCAGTCTATCTAAATCCCTCTGCAGCAAAGTAATATCTTGCTCACATTGTATTATTTTACAAAGTTTAGTGTCATCTGCAAACACTGAAACATGACTTTCAATGCTGTCTTCAAGATCATTTATAAACATGTTAAATAGAAGGGGTTCCAGAACAGACCCCTGAGGGACACCACTTGCCACCTCTGTCCAGCTTGAAAATTTACCATTAATGACAACTCTTTGTACTCTGTTTTTAAGCAATCAAGTGAGTTTGACATGACTTGTGCTTCATAAAACCGTGCTGATTTTTGCTGATAACCATGTTCTTCTCAAGGAATTCTTGAATATTATCCCTTAATAACCTTTCAAATATTTTACCAGCTACAGAAGTTAAGCTCACAGGTCTATAATTTCCAGGCAAGGATTTTGAACCCTTTTTGAATATAGGAATCTGCCTTTCTCCAATCCTCCGGAACACTTCTTCTTGTTTGAACCATGTGGTGAAAGTGTATTCAAAGTGAAAATCCAAAAAAACCTCTCTATGAAGTAGTTCATTGTTCTGGTCACCCTTGGGGGGACATGATCAATCCCCATAAAGTCCGCAAAGGTAGTTGGTGTCCTACTTCAAAGAAATGTCTGGCCACTGGGGCGGCATTCCTAGGGTTCATGTAGGCATTCCAAATAGAGGACCTATGGTTACAAAACTTTTTTTTTCCTTAGGTCATTTTAGGTCTTGCTCACATGCACCAGTCCATATGGGTATTGTATCCTTTAGACTACATATTTTGTGGTACACGTGATACGATGTCAAATCTTGTATTCTTTGTCAGAGTGTGGATGATGAACTGTTCTACCTGAAGTCATATATTTGCAGGTGGTGTAGCCCAGACATCTGTAGCATCTGTTTTGACATTAGCATTAGATAAATTACATGGGTAAAATTGGTTGTTGTGAACCAGTATATCAAGTAGATTAGTTCCCCTTTTGTAGCAAGTCAAGGGTGGTCTGCAAAATATTTATGGTAATTTCTTCTCCTTTAGTAAATTACAGGCACTCCTCACTTACCGAGTTGTAGAATAAATTGGTCCGTAAGTGAGGAGTTAAGAAATTCCCTGCTCTGCTGCATTCTTCCATGTTCGGGGAAATGTCCCTGAACATACACGAATGCAACAGAGCAGGGAATCCCTCTAATCTATGCGCGGGGAAATTTCACTGCTCTGTTGCGTTCGTCTATGTTCGGGGAAATGTCCCTAAATATAGATGAAAAAATGGTAGGTCGCAAAACGAGGACCACCTGTACCACAATTAATCAAAATAGCTTTAGACACAGCATCACCATTTGGTTTTAAAAGTCTGAGGGAAAATAATTCTAGATGGTTTCTGCTCATCAGTTAATTCAATTTCTGCTGATTTTTTATTTATTTTTTCTAGATTTGCTGGAAAGCCCTATATAAAATATAGGTCTTGCACCCTCTGTCTTACTATTGTACATCATCTGAATCTGTGATGCACATTTACCTGCATCCACATTATTTCTCAAAACCATGAGAAATTGGGAGATAGGAATTGATTCCTTTTGAGCTCCTGGGGTGGCAACTAGTACCATGCAGAAAAGTGCTGTGATCTGTGGGTTTAGTGTAGAGACTGTATAACTGTTAGATTTAGGAACTCCATAAAGCCAGGACTGAATTTACATGTGAATCTAATTGGAGCATGTAGGGTATTGAGCTTATCACACATCCAGGTTAATTGTAATTTAGTACCTGTCCAAATAAGAAACCGGTCATCGGGGCGTGGCCGGACGTCGAATGGAGCTGGCAGCACATTGAAAGAGCTCCGCAGCTAAGGGCTCCTAAACGCGGCTAAAACCCACTATTACCGGCTCGTACCCGACTCCCAGACTCGGGTCACGATGTCCCAACACCGCGCAAAGAAATGTGTGGACACGAAAGACAAAGCCGCCTTTTTCGCAGCCCGAACTCCACACCTCAAGCAGGCTGAAACACAGGCCCAAGATGGCGCCGAGGCTGAACTCCATGCGGACTTTGCCGACACACACGAGGCAAGCGCGGACACCCCGCTAACCCCGAATTTACTGCAAAAGATGTTAGACGCAGCGGTCCTGAAAATGCAGGCAACATTCACATCGGCCCTGGCTAAAATTAATAACGAGATCACCGACCTGGACGCACGAGCCTCCCAATTAGAGGAAAAAATGGAAGTAACTGCCACAGCCCATGCAGCTATCGAAGACAGACTAGAGGATATCGAAAGGAGACTGTCTCTACATGAAACCAAAATCACAGATGCAGAAGACAGGTCTCGCCGCAACAATATCAGGCTCAGAGGGGTCCCAGAGGATGTGGAAGCCCAGGACCTAACGGCCTTCAACATGGAGCTGTTCCGCGCGGTCTTGCCAGACATACCCGCAGACATGCTCTTATTAGACCGCATCCACAGAATCCCGAGACCGCAACACTTACCAACAACCGTGCCACGAGACGTGCTCATGCGGCTCCACTATTACCACACAAAAGACCAAATCCTCCGTGCACACAGAACTAGGAAAGACCTGCCTGATAAATTTAAACCTATCCTCCTCTTTACGGACCTGTCGGCGGAGACACTCCGGCGGAGAAGATCCTTCAAACCAGTAGCAGAGGCCTTAAGACACCACCGCATTCCCTACAGATGGGGCTATCCAGCGAAACTCCTCATCACCAAAGGAGGGAAGCAACTCATAGCCGCCTCACCGAAAGAAGGCCTGGAGCTGCTGCATAAATGGGACATAGCCCCAAACCTACAAACACCAGGCCTGCGCAAGACACAGAATATCGACGGCCGTCCTCAGCGACAACGGCGAGCTACCTCCAGGGACGATGACCACTAACCATATCAGGAATAGCAAGTGTTTTTACTTTCTTTAAAACCTAAAACATGTTTGGCTATAGATTGATGTTAAAAATGATTGCTGGCTAGAATAACCACATCCCAAAAGGTTGACAAATTGCAGGTGACCTCTATTTACTGTAAAACATATACAAAAAAAAAAAAAAAGTTTTTCTTTATATATTGCAGGAACAGAGTAAGATACAAATTAAGTGACAAGACTAATGATCCACAGGATCAGCCACATTTAACCTCCCCGTGGCAATTGACTTGAAACGACCCCTAGAGACCACGTAGGTAGTCAATAATGTAGGGGCTTTCGTGCACCGATTAAAGGCTTTAGAGGCCTGCTGACGCCCCAATGTTAATCTCCCTAACGCCTACTCCCTCTCTATTTCCTTAGAGAGCCCTCCCGAGTATATGATTGTACTAGACTACTTGCGGTTAAGTTTGCTGGATCACCATGTAAGTTTAAGTGGTGTCAATCTCTCATAGCCCACCTCTGCCAGAATGGAGGAAGCGATGTAACAACTGCAACCTGTATATATGTTTAATTGTGTTTTTACTGTTTCCATGCACCTGTCCGACGCACCCAAAACGCGCCCAGGCACACCCAGAGAGGCCGCAACTATTCCCACAGCAACCCTAATGGCGGGGACAAAACCACCAAAATGTTAGCAAAGTACCGCCCCCCCCGATAAATAGATCACCATGCCGATACGACATGCAGATTAGAGGGCCCTATGAGCAAAATACCCCCCGTATTGCCCACTACGACTCAAGCCATATGTGCCACCCTATTTGCCTATACCGGGGCGCTCACCCAACAACCCCCCCTCTGCAGCGGCACCCTAAGACAGGGCGAGAACCAAGCGCACCCACACACTTGCTAAACTAACATATTTACGGGTGGGGCCTGCACAAGGTAGGCCCTAGATAGCTGTCAGCTGGATTCGACCCGACTGCACTACCCCCGCTTGAGAAGTGCCCTCCCCGGCACATACCCCCGAAAGTACCCTTTGTATATTAAATTTTTTTTGTAAAGTTTACTGTTTAACCATACACCCCCAGGTTTTAATACCCTACCCCTACTGTTAGCCCCCGCCCCTGGTACCAACACCCGACCCAACCTAGACCTCACAAATTATACGAAAGGGTCTTCCTGAGACGCAAACAAAGGCACCGACCCCCAATTCAGAACCTTCATCTCTGCACCAACCCAAGTGACCTACCACTGGTCACGACAATGAAAATATATACCCACAATGTGAGAGGCCTAAACGCGCCCCATAAGAGATACAATCTCCTCAAAGAGATCCGAACTTCACAAGCAGACATCATATGCCTGCAAGAAACCCACTTCAAACATGGCTCTAAACCCATCCTTGGGCTTAAACATTTTCCCTACCAATATCATGCCACGTCCCCATCTAAAAGCAGAGGAGTGTCGATCATGGTGAGCCACACCTTGGCCTTTGACCTAGTAACAACCCAGATAGATCCGCAAGGAAGGTATATCATTCTCATCTGCACGCTAAACAACAACACATACACAATAGTCAACTCTTACTTCCCAAACGAGAACCAACCCCAATATATGGCCACGCTACTAGATAAGATCGAGAAAATACAGATGGGCACCCTAGTTCTCTGCGGGGACTTTAACCATATCCTCGACCCTGTGGCAGACTCCACAGCCACACACACACAAGAGGAAAAAGGCCCTACACAAACAATGCATCTCTCTGCACAAAACACTAGCATCATATGGGCTTTACGACGCTTGGAGAACCCTCCACCCAACGGACAGGGAATACACCCATCACTCACAAGTGCACAACACATATTCCCGCATAGATGGCTACCTAATACACAGCTCACAGCTACAACAGATCAAATCCTGTGAGATAGAAGCCTCTACAATCTCTGACCATAATCCAGTGTCTCTCACCCTGATCGATTCCTACATATACCAACATCGCAGCCCCTGGAGGCTGAACGAACACTTACTGAGCGATGTAGACTTTACCAACAAAATACGAGAAGAAATACAACAATACTTCCAAGCCAATGGTTCCGGCGAGGTAAGCCAAGCCACACTGTGGCTCGCGCACAAGCCGGTCATCAGAGGGCTATTACTCAGCCGAGCGTCCTATCTCAAGAAAACAACACATACTGCATTGCTGAACCTTCTCAAACGGATCCAAGACCTCCATAGAGAAAACCAACTACATCCCTCCAAGAGCCTTCAACAGAAATTGCAAACAGCGCAAGACGAAGTTAAAGCAATTCATCTCAAGAAAGCCAACATAGCATTAAAAAAACTCAAAGCAACTTCCTACTCAATGGGAAACAAAGCAACGAAAGTATTAGCACAACGACTCCGGATGAAGCCGGCACAAGCCCGCATCCCATTCATAAACTCACACACCGGGACCAAGATAATACAACCCGCACAAATCTGCAATGAATTCGCACATTATTATACCACCCTATACAACCTGAAAGATCAGCACTCCCTGGCCCAACCCACGTCCACATCAATTCGCAACTACCAGGCACAGATTGCCCTCCCCAAACTCCTTGAACAGCACGCAGCACAACTATCAGCACCAATCACCACAGACGAAGTGCTCACCCTGATAGACAGAATGCCGAAAAATAAAGCCCCAGGCCCGGATGGCTACACTAACGCTTATTACATGGCCTTCAAGGCAGAAATTGCCCCAGACCTCACACGCTTCTTCAATGAAGCCACCCGACTGGGTACCTTTCCCACCGAGTTCTTAGCGGCACATGTTATCACTATCCCCAAACCAGGGAAACCCTCGACCACATGCCAAAACTTCAGGCCAATCTCTCTCCTGAATGCAGACGCAAAGCTATATGCCAAAATCTACGCAGAACGACTCAAGACCATACTACCAACACTAATTCATACAGACCAGGTGGGATTCGTAGCAGGAAGGCAAGGGTCGGATAACACCAGGAAAGTACTAGACCTATACAACATACTGAAAAACACCAAACAAACGAGCGTCATGCTATCCCTAGACGCCGAGAAGGCGTTCGATCGCCTGAACTGGCAATTCCTCCAGGAAACCCTACAGGCCTACGGATTCCCAGCACCCTTCCTCTCTGCAGTTAGTGCCCTATACAGTGATCCCAGGGCGACGGTACTCACCTCAGGATTCAGTTCACAGGCCTTCCCCATTACTAACGGAACCCGACAAGGTTGCCCACTGTCCCCTCTCCTTTATGTGCTAGCCTTAGAACCCCTGGCAATAGCAATTCGATCCAACGATTCCATTCGAGGTGTACTAGTGGGCCAAACAGAATATAAACTAAGCATATTTGCCGATGACATCCTCCTCACACTCACACAACCACTTATAACACTCCCCTCCCTACACAAAGAAATACATGCATACAGTCAACAATCTTATTACAAACTCAACGTGGCTAAGACACAGGCAATGTGCCTCAACACACCAAAACACATAGAAACACTCCTGAGATCCGGCCACTGCTTTGATTGGAGAGAAGATTACTTGGTGTACCTAGGGATCAAAATAACCCACAGAGAAAAGGAACTATTCCCTACCAACTACGTAAAACTGCACAAAGATATAGACACCCAGCTGCAAACATGGAGGGGCCTGTACCTATCATGGGTCGGAAGAATAGCAGCACTGAAAATGACAATTCTACCTAAAATTCTCTACCTCTTCCGGACACTACAAATCAAAATCCCACAAAGCTACCTCACAAAATTACAGGCTACCCTCCTCAGATTCAGCTGGGGAGGCAAACACCCCCGAGTCCCCAAATCACTTCTGTTGAGAAGTGCGAAACACGGAGGTATGGGCCTCCCTAATCTCAAAGCGTATTATCACTCAGCCATCCTTGCGAATGCAGTCAGTGCTCACTCGGCCAAGTACATCCCCCAATGGGTAGAGATAGAAAATAAGTACAGTGAGAACCAGGACCTGCCTACAATGCTCTGGATACCTCGACACCTGCGACAACAACCTACAACCATGCTGTACACTACCAAACACCTTCTCACAATATGGGACACCTACAGGGACCAACTGTGCTCCGCACACCCGTGGGCCCTGGCAACTCCAATTCGGACCCTGCACCAATGCAATGGCTTGTTTCCACACCATAAATGGGCAGAAAAAGGAATTACACATGTCTACCAACTGTGCACTAAGGCAGGTCTCAAACCGTTCCCAGACCTACAGAAAGAATTTGCCCTCCCCCCAAGCTACACATTCGCTTATCTACAAATCAAAGCGCTAATAACTCACAACGTAATCAAAGACATGGAACACTCACTGAGATCGTCCATAACGAAATTTGAAGCACAATGCCTCTCCCTAGACCCTCCAAAGAAAACAGTTTCCACCTGTTACGACCACCTTGCCAACCCTAAAAACAACGACACATGGAAGTTTATGCAGGATTGGCAGACAGACCTCCAGGTCACAATACCACCAAACGAATGGGAAAAGATTTTCACTTCTCATATAGGGCTCACAACAAGTACAGCACACCTGGAAGCATCCAGGAAAATCCTATACCGATGGTACATGGTACCGACCCGACTGCACACCATATTTCCCAACACTTCAGACCTATGCTGGCGCTGCCATGCAACTAAAGGAACTATGATGCATATGTGGTGGACATGCGATAGTGTGCAAGATCTTTGGAAAGCTACAGTCCGACTGGTAAGAAGTGTCACGAATCTCCACTTAGCTCTCGACCCTAAAACAATCCTACTCCGATTGCTCCCAGACGACTTTCCAAAACCGATCAAGAAACTGATATACATCATACTGGGCACGGTGTCCATATTAATAGCCAGGAAATGGAAAACAGCTGACTTGCCCTCCATCCGGGAAGTTGAAACGGAAGTAACACTGGCAATGGAGTACGAACTCATCATGTGGAAGCAGGCAAAAATCGGGAAACTGAGCCCCTACACCGCCACAATATGGCGAAACTACACACATCAGCTCACACAACACCAACATAGTCATTAACGAGCCCGCAAAGAGGCCACAGCACTGGCTACCAAAACGACACCACCCTTTAAACCAACACTGATCACCAGACACACTTACCAACCCACCCTGTGACATGGAGGTCACGATCCTAGGACCCACCAACAACCGCAAACCGGTACCACGCTGCTACCCCCCTCCACCTGTTACTCGCCCCCAATACACGGGGACCCCCCACTCTCACCTCACACCCTCAACACACCGCAGGCACCCTGCCCACAACGACACCCTTCCCCCCCGGAGACAGGGGACCTCGTACAATAATGAAATAAACCACATTCGCAAAACTTAGTATAACGACAATTCACGTAACTAAATGAGCGAACTCCCCACTCGTCAGAAGACCCCCCTATGAGCATCACCTACTGAAACACCACGATATCAGGGTAATACTAAGTAAGGAAGGTCAAATTGTGTCAGGGAGCTATCCCCTCCCCTCCCTCTTACTCGTCCCCCCCCCCTTCATTACAACTGTATGTCGAAAAATGTATAGCAATTGTACGACCCCACTATGTACATTTGAAGTTTCCCCTTCTTTTCTGTACCCCATTTCCTTGTCTTTATGAAAATAAAATTTCAAATTGAAAAAAAAAAAAAAGAAACCGGTCATCAATAAATTGCATACAGCAGCAAATTCACGGTTTGTCTTTTGACAGGATGTATTTCATTTCTTTGCATTTGCCTACATTGGAGCCATTGCAGATGCAATCGAGGTGCCTTTGCGTTGTTTGTAAAAACAAGCTTCAAATGTATAGTAATATCCATTAAATGTAAAAATTGTAAAATGAAGTCAGTAGGGTAACCTAACTATTGATTGGTATCTGAAATAACTTTTCTCATGGCCTTGGTTCATTCTTTATGCTGACGGCCAGGGCGACAAGTAAATCACATGAAGGGGGAATCTCGTTCTTTCAATCTAGGAATGACCTCAGTAGTGTTCCGAAGGCAGGTTTTTTTAGTGACATTACAGGGCCTTAAAATCGAATCAGGCTATCTTGCAATTGATTTCAACAAGCCACATTTTGCAAAAACAGTCTGCCTTCTTGGGGGCCTGATTGGATCATTAGGATCTTTTGTAGAGTATATAAGATTGGGCACTTAGGATGTTGTTCATGTAAATGGTTGTAGATATCTTGTGAAATAAAGCCTTTACCAAGGCCCATCTGTAAGACTGTATGTTTGTTTGGAGTTGTGTACAACGATCTTTCAATTTTATCATCTGCATAAACATCTGCAAATTGGCATAAACGGTAGTCTGAGTAATTACAGGTAACAATGCCACTTCCTTTCTCTGCCGGGCAGATATAGTTATAGTGGGGTCCTTGGAAAGCCTCTGTAGAGCTTCTCTTTCAATTTTAAGGATGTCAGAGTGTTGAATGTGTTTGTCATTTAGATTCACATCCAAATCAGAGTGTAGATTCTGTAGAAATTATTTGAAAGCTGCATTAGTGGCCAGTGGATCAAATTGAATTCAGAGTTTAAAAGCAGAGGCGTCGTTCTTAATTTCATTCTATGGGAAAAAAAAGCCTCTGCTAAGTGGAGAGAGCAGCCAAATTTTAATAGTTCTGTTTTCACAAAGAAAAGGGCTAGGTCCAATTGAGTGTACAAATGAAAGCCCCATTGAAAGTATTGATAATTTGCCCTTATCAAAAATTTGAGGAGATAGATTAAAGATAGGAATTGTCACCATTTTGTTGGTAGTCTGTCCCTTTAGGCTGTTTTTACCTACCTTCTGTCCCCTGCTGATGGCATGACAACACTTGCTCTTAAACCAGCGCTGCTCCCTCTGCCATCCTTTGAGGACCTGGAGCCTAATCCTAAAAAATACTTTCCAGATGAAAGTTTGTGTGTGGGTGAACTCACTTCATTAGCAATTTGCTGTGTTTCAGTCTCACATCCAGATTCCCCCAATGTGACATATACAGTGTGTCCATATGGACTCCAAATTATTTGTCTCTAGCATTGGTGCTTTCAAGATAGCATTATTCTTAACCTCAAATTCTTTTATTTTCATTTTGTTGATTTTTGAGTTCATTTCCCACCTCCTTAATCACCAACAGCATATTGTCCAAAGCACATTTGTTGGAAATTGCAACCCTCCTTCTGCACATATCTGGGTTATTTATTCCTATGGTAGGCGTATTTTTAATGCAGAAGCCTCTCTGTATTTTCTTCATTCTATAGTAATCCGAAAGATAAATGGCCTGAAGTTCCAGATCAATTTCCCTCTGTTTAAGTTTTTCAAGATCTCTGTATAGATCTTTCTTATTAATGGCTGCTGGGAGACATAAATCAGATTGTAGCCACAAAATCGCTGCTGCTTTGTTCATCAGTAAACTGCACAGTCTCTGCATAATCCACATAAACATCTGCTCTTTTTACAAAATTATCACCATAACTACTGTAGCTCACTGACTCCATCCCGATGACACATGTCAAAATGTACATTAAAGTTATTGGACTTGTTTAAAATATTTTGTACTCTTGTCTCTATTGTAGAGAAACCTGTTTCTCATATGATTTGCGAGAAGTGGAATATAGAGGAGTAGTTTCATAAATAGTTGGAATTGTATTATGAGAATTGGAAAGGGGGTCCTAATAATGAACTAAAATGTAAAAATGAAGGGACCTATAGAGGGGGAAAAGTATAACTTTTGTAACTTTTTATTTTATTTTTTTTCCATAAATGTCCCTGAAACCAAGCATATATAAGATTTTACAAAGATTATTTTTTTAGTTGGTGGAACAATAACCCATTGCCCCATTTTAACTGTAAATATATTTGGTTCCAGAGGGGCAAAAATTTATTTTTCCAAATGTTGATATTTACTTATCCAATACCGTATTGAAACCTTAAGATAAAATTCAAATTTGCATTTTCTAAAGAAATTACTAAGGATGCACATGTGTGCCTTTATTTTGTTTGTGCGTATTTATGTACGTATATAGAGTATCAGAACAGATACCCACAGACTTCAAATCAACTCAACAACATCACATTTATTATTTGCTTGGGAAAATATTTTGTGTCCTAGTTTTTTTAAATCCTTACATCTTCTTGTGGTACAAAATGTATTCAATTTTAAGTGGTACATATTAACATTTCTCATTACTTGACAATTTAAAGTAAGAGCGTACAGTATTTAGAAAAATGCATTAAAAAATTCCCTGTTACAGGTATTGCCCAGCTTATCAATGCCTTGATCTGTCCACATTCTTAGATATTTTGTAATAGTATGCTCCACCGAAAACAAATCCCAGCAAAGTAATTTGAAGGGTAAACCACATCCTAGCAAATCTAATTATTTTTTTAAATATCTCCCAACGTTTTTTGTGTGTGGAAAATCTCTTTTCAGGCTTCTTTTGACAGCGTAATTTATTGAATATATATATATCTAACTATAATTGGATATATTGAATTATCGAACTATAAATATATATTGGGTTAGTGTAGTGATATGGGGCACTATAACCTCTTTGTAATTTAATATTATACCTTTTTTCAATACAGGTATTTCCCTAAAGACACCGATAAAAGACCCAAGTGGAAGAAACGCTTTATGCAAGGACGTACGGACCGTCCAGAAAAAGAAGAAAAAGAGGCATTATACAGGGAGCATTGGCCACAGTTTGTGCGGAAGCTCCAGGGAAAGTAGGATCCTTAATATGTATCCCAAGTTAACATTTGTAACTGATCTTGTTCTTCAGCACTGATCATTTGTGATGTTTTTGTTTATACCTTTTTGCTGCATGCAAGCGTTTTCAGGACGTGTTTATTTTCAATATTTCCATTTTTTGAAGCTGAACTTGTACGTCTTGATCATTTTCAAATCTTTGCATTTTAAGCAACTGTGTATTTAGCTATAGTGGTGGGGGAATTGATTGTGCCAATGCTTGTAGTGACCACTTCATGTATACATTTAGTGACAAAACTGCATTCCATACATATTTTGCATATGCCTACTTGAAACTGACTTCGTCCTTGGAAATAAATAAAACATGTTAATTACAGTTTTATTTATACAATGATTATAACGGTATAGCCTCCTCTTATTTATATGTGACAGACTGTATTTACATGCTACTGTCCTTCTTCTTTTGTCTTTTCTAGGTACTCAGCGAGTACAATTGATGCTCTGGAACTCGTAGACGATGAAAAGGTTGACCTTGACCTCATTGTGGAACTCATCAGGCATATTGTTCTGAAAGGAGAGGTATGCGATTATGCGAATTACTGCTGCTTCTCTTTAACTTTTTTATTAAACCTGAGACCAATAAGTACATCCCTAATGTGGTGTTTGTATTATTTGTAACTTTAGTAATAGTGGTGTATATTATAAAAGTGTCAAAATCTCTATCATATACAAAGTACAGTCTCATGAATACTGGTGTGAATCATCCAGACATTGTTAAGCAGTTTCAGTTTGTTCGCATTCAAATGAATTATGCATTTCAGGATTTAGATGGTATGATGCAAAGTGAATTTAAAGTAGTGTGTGAATTGAAAGCACCAGCCTGCAGCAAAGCTATTTTAAAGGCACCATTATGATTTACTCTTTTAAAGAAGTAAAAAAAGAGAAAATGAACTGTCACAATTCTGCTTTTGTATTTTATAGTTTATTTGCTTGTGTTAACTCTGTTGAGATCAAATTCACTAGCTTAACCAAGTAGCAAGCTTTACCATTTTTCATTAATATAATCATGTCTGATTTTACAAACTCTCAAACAAAGTCACAGTGAAGTGTTTGGGGCTGAACTTGCAGTAGTTGATTTGCCTGTGAATTCTGCTGTCTGCTATTCACTTTGTCAGCTGATCAATTTTTATTGCATTTTGTTTGCACTAGTAATATCATTCATATTTTCAGAGTTTTGTTTTGTGTTTTAATAGGATGGTGCTATCTTGGTATTTCTTCCTGGCTGGGATAATATTAGCACATTGCATGATCTACTGATGTCCCAAGTCATGTTTAAATCAGGTTAGTTTATTATATAATTTTATGATCATTAAAGCATTGTATTTATCTGACATAACACGTGGCAGTTAAATAGACACTCCAGACCCCTAAAGCATAATTTGTTTCACTTTACAATAAGTACAGATTTCAATAGATATTGGCACTTTTACAAATTAACTTGGTTACACCCCCTGGCTGTCAATCAGACAACAGATCATGTTACTTCCTGGTTTGGTTAGCTTAGTGGCGCTAAACTCAAGAAGCGAGCAATTGCCCAGAGCACCTGAATTATATATAAAATATACAGATGTTTTACAACACATGTTCTTCAGACTGTAATAAGTGTTTGTACGTGAACTCCGTCCAATATATAACCGCAAGGAGCTCAATAAAACTTGTTCACATGTTGGTGTGTAGTACCTGCTTAATTACTTCGTAAATAGTTGTAAATGTGTAGAGTAAAAGAAAGAGTGAACCAAACTATGACCTCCTCCATCCAAGATTAGCAATTGTTTCCAGGAATTCAGCTATCTCCTGATAATCTGTTGGGGGAGTTACTGGAGTGATTCAGACAGTGCAATCCTCTACTTCCAGAGTTTCATCATGGGGAGAGGCGTTGAATAAGTGATTGCAGTTGCTGTGCGGGTTTCTAATTCAAATCCAATTTTTGTATAAAATAGCTTTGGCTTTTTATGTGCAAAATATAATTATTATTTTTTATTTTTTTTTAAATGCATCTGCAAGTTCCCCATGTTACTAGTAAAGATCGGTCATCTTACTAACTGGGAGTTCTTGGCAGTTGTGGAGGTTTCTCATGATACTCCATCTCTTTGGGGTCATTTAAAGCAGCTGGACTGCCAAAAGCTGTATGTCAGTGCTGTAATCTCAGGAAAGATGTGTTGACACCGATAACCACACTTTATAGAGAAGTGTCTTTTTAAAGAACCTTATGTGTCAGTGTGCATAAACTTATTTTAAGATTTATATGTGCTTTTCTTGTTTCCCATTGTCCCTGAATATGTAAAAATATGTTTAATTTATTTTCAGATAGATTTGTTATTATTCCTTTGCATTCCTTGATGCCAACTGTAAACCAGACACAGGTATGAAACTATAACCAACTAGAAAAATATGTATGTTTATATAGGGGTGAGTGTGTGTTGACTGTGGAGGCATGTATGAAGACATTTTTAGAGCCGTGAAGTAGCATGTGTATGTAGTGTGTAAGAAGACTCCCCTTTCAAGTGGCAAAGGTAAAGTCAGTTGTTAAAGGGACACTATAGTCACCAAAACAACTTCAGCTTTATAAAGGCATTCATGCCATGCAGTCTAACTGCTCAATTCTCGGCCATTTAGGAGTTAAATCACTTTATTTATACAGCTCTAGCCACACCTTCCTGCATGTAACGTTTACAGCTTTGCTAAACATTTTCTTTTCAAGTGAGGGCTCATGTTTATACTTCCTTTATTGCACAGTTTGTTTAATTTAGAATTTATATTCTGCACTGGTAATAGCGTGCAAGATCTTGCACGAGCCTCTTGAGTGTGATTAAAGTTTAATTTACAGAGCAGGAGATAAAATGTCTAAAGAAAGTTACTATCTAATTGAAAATGAAATATTTTTTTATGCAAGCCAGGGGAGGGCTGCATGGACAGAAACAAAAGTGATTAACTCCTTAATGGCAGGGAATTAATTGAGCAGTTAGACTTCAGATGCATGGCCTATACACTCAAACTGCTTCGTTAAGCTAAAGTTGTTCTGCTTACTATAGTAACCCTTTAAGCAATGAGTCATCAGCATCAGAGCAACTGACCGAATTTAGTGGGCTCCCGAGGTTATCTCTGAAGATACAAAAGTGTATGCACACTTACAAAAATATACCTATAGGCATACATACACATTTACACAGATAATTATTAGCATATGTTCAGACACGTGTAATCATGGGTACACAAACGCAGTAAAAACACTCACAGATAGACTTAGATACTGATACATTCCTAGGAAATTGTGAGGGAAGGTTACGGAACCATTCTAAGTAAAATCACAGGTAACATTTGAATTTCTGAATGGTAGCCTTTCAGTGGGGTGAAGGGAGGTAAGTTATATTAACTTTTACAAAAGGCAGGCCTGCATCAAACACATCTCGGTAATGAATATTTCTATGGAGTGCAAGTCAGTTAACAAAATCAAGGAGTCGGAATCTTATGGTCATTCTCAAATATGGTGTTTAATCAGGCTACACAAGGACATGTACTATACTGGGAGAGAAAGCTTTGCCACACCTGTAAACCCAAGACCAAATATTGCAGTTATGGCAAGGCCAGCTTAGTCTTTCATACTTCTACTGTTGGGAAAATAAAGTCTGATAATGTTAACTGGTAAATACTTTGAATCCCTTTAGGGATAAAAGCACTACATAGCATTACAGCATGATATGGATTTTACTTCAGTTGGGTACCTACAAACTTAAAATATTAACTAGCACTCCATAGTTGCATAGTAATAAAGGTTAAAAAATTATTTTGAGTTCAACCTTTAAACACATCCTAAAAAATTAAAGAGATGTGACCGAACCCTGAGGCAGTTCACTTAACTCTATTGTCCATATAACTAACCTTTTAGATGAACTGAAATATAAATGAATTGACTTAGTTTTACTCCATGGTCATACATTAGTAAATGTAGTAACAGCTAACTGTGTTTGATTGAAACTACGAGACACTAATTAATGACAACAATTCATATTCTAGGTCTTTAAAAAGCCCCCTCCTGGAGTTCGAAAGATTGTAATTGCCACCAACATTGCAGAGACAAGGTAAATACATTTTAGTGGAAAACATTTTATCCAATGGCCCACTGAAATGTGAATTCATCTATAAGCAACAATAGCAGATTATACACTAGCATCCAACATGTCTAGCTTTTAAAATTGTCAGCAATACTGCTCCTTTTATTGCCCCAACACGTTGTATGCTCTTGCTTTGTCTTCCGGTATTTGCATAGCTAGCCATGGTAAACCAGCTTGACGTATACCTAATTGTTTTCTTCTTCTACCTTAAAAAATGTATGCAAACCTAACTAGCCACACACCTGTTATACCTATGTTCATTGAGCCTGCTACAGCTGTTGTGGCGAGACAGGCACTGTTGTACTTTACCGCATACCAAAAATAAAGAATTATAAAAAATAAAAAAACACATCCAGCTTCTTAGTGGTAAAGCCCTGCCTCCCCTTTAAGTTGTTCTATTTCGAACCAGATAGTCATATTTCTAGACAGATTATTTAATGAGATTGTTATTCATTTTCAGGAGTTTTTTTTCGATTTAGTGGTTTAAAATCACAATTTTATTAAAGACTGGAGGCAGATATTATACCTCCCTTTTATTGTCCCAACAATAGCAGATTATACCTTTTGGGCTTTATTTACTCTGAGTGATATGTCTACATCAGGGTTAGTTAGCAACTCAAAACATATAACTGTTTTAATTACTTTTATTGTCCTATTAAAATTCTTCTAACTTATCTCTAAAATCACTGTTCCTGGGACATGCTTTGCCAACCATGATAATGCTAGAGTTGAATGCTTTTGTATTACATCATGTTCTTATTTATAATAAAGTATCTAAAGCCTATCAAGCCAGACTACTAATGACTGTACATTTCCATTGTGATTGCCCATTGCTTATTGAATAAACACCCAACACCCATATAACACTGTGGCTTGGTGGTCTGCAAGATGTGGCCTAACATGCCGAGCTTTGAGAAATGTGATGTTTAGAGAACAAACCCTTTTGTTACTTTAAATTTAACCTGTCTGTACATATCAACATTTACAGGGTTATTCACTACAATGAGAATTTAAGGTGACCTCAAAGTGAATTTCACATTTAAGGTCAAAGTAAGCTGAACTGAAAAATTATCTTGCGTTCAGTTCGGATACTCAGTCCTTAAATTTGAAATACTTTGAATTCTTATTTTAGTAAATAACCCTGTTAGATACTTTTGGTTTATTCCACTACTGATTCCACAGGTACCAGAATGTTTTCTCAGGAAAAGGAAATATTCTTCACTGCAAGCGTGAATTGTGGAGCTGACTTTTTTTAGGATATTAGACATGATGGAATGTGTTTTGCTTTACAAAGCGGGATCAGTTGCTTCTAATGTTTCAAAAAGAATATTACTTTTAATATATGAATGTCGATATCCATAAAAATATGTGTAAATACCTACTGACCATTGGAAAACTGCATTTAACAAGAGTAAAAATTAATATAGAAAATATTTCTGATGCTATAGTGATTTCTTATAATCAACATGATATTTTTTTCTTCTGCAGTATTACAATTGATGACGTGGTTCATGTCATAGATGGGGGAAAAATAAAAGAGACACACTACGACACACAAAATAACATTAGCACAATGACTGCTGAATGGGTTAGCCATGCTAATGCAAAGCAAAGGAAAGGTCGTGCAGGCAGGTAAGGATAAATATATGTTGCGGTAGTATTTATTTGGTCGGATTTTTTTTTTTGTGTGTGTTATGTTATATAAAAAATGATGTTGCCAAACAAACCTACGACTCCATAATTACGCTGTAAATTATTACTATGTACATACAAAAATAAGAAGACACTTGCAGTGAGGAGTCACTGAGTGCAACAAGCCCAAAGTATAATTCCCTCACAGAGCGCGCAGTAGAAAGGACTGTGCACAGTCAGCTATGTAGCCCAAGGTAGATTTAAGAAGAATTACAATGTTGCGGCTCATATAGGAGCCTTTATTCCAGACATTTCACACTTTACAAATCTATGCTGTTTTATGCATTTCCAGACTTAAAGGATCACTATAGTGTCAGGAAAACAAAGCAGTTTTCCTGACACTATAGTGCCCTGAGGATGCCCCCACCCTCAGGGTCTCCCTCCCGTGGTGCTGAAGAAGTTAAAACCCCTTCAGCCACTTGCCTTATTCCAGCGCTGGGCTCCCTTGGCGCTGGTGACCTCTCCTCCTTGTCAGACGTCAGCTCCCCTGTCTGACACTGGAGCAGAATGTGCATGCGCAGCAAGTGCCACGCGCGCGCATTCAAACTGTCCGTAGGAAAGCATTTCTCAATGCTTTCCTATGGACACTCTGCACGATGGAGGCGAAATATGCCTCCAGCGTCGCAGATGCGCCTCTAGTGGCTGTCCGGAAGACAGCCATTAGAGGCTGGATTAACCCTATGTTTGCATCTAAAGGGTTAAAACCTGAGGGACCTGGCACCCAGACCACTTCATTGAGCTGAAGTTGTCTGGGTGACTATAGTGTCCCTTTAAATTCTATTAGTGTTTGTCACAGCATGCCTCCCAACTATCCCTTTTTAAGAGGGAAAGTCACAATTTCAGGGTCCTCTCCCACCATCCTGCTATTACAATTACATGTTTACATAGAATGCACAGATATGTGTTTGATTTTAAGTCCAGGAAGTAATTCCTAACTGGTAATAATTTTCTTATTGCACTTGGTGCATGTTTAATGTTATAGAGCGAAGGGGAGCAGAATTAGTTTGTGCTGAATGAATACTATCCACATTGGTTGATTACATTTAAAAAGGGGGAGACTTGGCAAGGAGTCCCAAAAACACAAACAATAAGTTCAGAGTAGAGAGATCTATCTGTTCATGGTGTAAATTTCTGGCCTAATTTTTATAATGCTATCTACAAAAAAATGCAATTTGTTTCTAGTGTGAATATCGCAGTATAAGCATCCTGGAAAACTGATGTGAAATACATTTAAAAAAAGAAAAAGGTCTGGTTAGTGGTACAGGGCAACTTCACTAGTGCAGAATTGTAATATTCGTTTTGGCATATCACCCAATTCGGGGCTAGCAATTTATGAGTAGAAATAAAATAGTATTTTGAGGTATTCTGACAAGGTCAGGCTATCTTTATTCTTTATAGATCCATGGCATTTTACAGATGGATTTAGGGGTGAGGGTTGATTCCTGATCAGTGCTTAATTTGTAAAATAAGGGAGAGAACAGCGAGAACTCTTTCATTTTTATCATTTTGTGTTTTACAGAGTTCAGCCAGGTTACTGCTACCACTTATATAATAGCCTGAGAGACAGCTTGCTTGATGATTATCAATTACCAGAGATTGTCAGGACACCACTGGAGGAACTTTGCTTACAAATCAAGGTAAAATGTGTGCCTCCTATTTGAATTTCTACAACATATCTAATTTGCTTCTAAATATCTAAGGCAATTTAAAAAAAATAACTTCCCTAACATAGCACCCTTCAAAGATTGCGTGACATTTTGAGAGAGTTGTGCAAACAGAGTATGCAATACAGAGGTTGATTTACATCTGAGTCAGTGCCATATATCTGAAACTTGTCCAATTGTTCCTGAAGGCTCCAGTGAAGGGAGCAGTGTTAGGATGTTTAGCATCCACTTTCTGTAGTACTAATTGGCATAGCTTCCTAATGGCTTGCAATGTAGTAATCAGTGATGTCACACATTCGTGGACTGTGAGCCACAAGGGAGCTGTGTTAATCAGTACTAAATGAAACACATGCTGCATATGTCAGAAAACTCTTTCTCCAGGAGACAAGAGGGAAAGGGATGTCTGTACACCATATATGCTGTCACACGCGTTTCCTTTACACACTTATATCCTGCATAAATGCATGTACTTACTCTCCATCCCGCAGCTAAAACATGACTAAAAACATGGTGGTGTTTGCTCGCATTTGTGATAAGTAACATCTAGGCCTGGTTAGTAGATTAAGAGTGTGTTAGTATATTTATATGTGTTTTTATATTGTCATGGGTCTTTTTTTTTTTTTTTGGGGTGTGTGTGTGACTTTTAAGAACCCCATATGGTTAGGGTACACATATGAGACCCTAGAGGGGTAAGGAAGCTGGCATTTTCATTAGATGTCTGTTGAGATAAACTGCTACAATCAGACAAATCCCCTGGCTGGAATATCACAGTACGTATAAGTAGCTGATTCGCCCTGCCCATGTTCTCCTGTGAGGAAATTCACCTACTTTAGCCATACCACAGGGATTCTGTATTGTTGGTGCCATCTCCTCCCCTCCCCTACTTAATCAGATGTACTTTCTACTTACATGCCACCACTGTTACTGATTTTATTCTTTTCCATTCTTATGAATGTTTTGCAATGACTACCCTGTAGACAAATGTGCTGTATGTTCATTGACCTTTTGAAATCAATAAAATACACATGCCAGCACACATTAATAACCACCTCACTTCCTTCTCTTTGGTTGGATTAACTGTACAACTGATTGAAGCCTAGTGGCATAGTACAAACTATTTTTATTTGATAAATCATTTTGTGGAAATCCAGAAGTATATATTTGTAGAACAGCTGATAGCACAATGTATATTTCCTAGGTACAGCTGCATGAACTGATACATATGCATTACTCTTTTTCAAATAGATCTTAAAACTTGGTGGCATTGCATGTTTCTTAAGAAAGTTAATGGACCCGCCATCTCGAGAAGCCATCTGCCTAGCAATAAATCATCTAATGGAACTGGTTTGTATGAATTTGGGCAGCATTATCCAAAATATGCATTACATGTTAGTGATCCTGCTAAAAATGACATGCATATATGTCGAATTTACAAATAAGTAGCAGAGAACACACAAAAAGATATAGATTCATATAATTTAAGGATACTTAAAATCACATCCAATGATAAAATATGGGGATTATGTCACATTATTTAGCAATACTGTTGGGCCACCACTATGTTAAAGTACAATAATATTGGTGGATCCTAACCTCTGTAGATACAATTCTAAGGGGCAATGTCTCAATCTGACAGTTGAGCTTCTATGCAAGTCATCGTTTAATAAAGATTCATACACTCCCCAAAGCAATGTAATGATTTCCAACAAGTTCCTTCAGTTCCTCACATATTGTGTCTTACAAACAATCCTAGGGTTGCAAAATACATTCCAACTAGACCAAGACAGAGAAGGGGCTAAAGCCATCCCTGCTAATGCACAAGTTTACAGTGACAGCAGCCAAGCAGGTTAATGTAATTTCTGTGTAAAAAGTACTGAAATCCTTCCAGTAAATTTCATATCTAAAACACTTTGACATCGTTAAAAAGAGCATGAAAATCGTCCTCGTAGTGTGCTCTGTTTATGCAGTGTAGAAATCCATAGAACATGTTTTAAATATTTATGTTAAATGTGTTGATATCATTCAGCAGTTTATTTCTAGCGCATTTACATGCTTGCTTTGTTAACATGACAGGCTCAGTTTGGAACTTACACTGTCTCAGTAACCGTTTAAAGCCGCACTATTGATTTGCATATCTTCATCTGGTTGGAGATTATAGAGGGAGATATAATTACCTAAGGTTTTTCCAGTAATCTTCTCCTAGCAGATGAAGCCACTTAGAGCTGAGGGATGCTACATAAATCTTCTCATGCATATATAGTGTGTTCCTATCAGCTGACATGTGATGGTTGGTTATGTAAAGATAATCAAGCTGTAGCTGATTATTGTTCTGCCTTATTTTGCCCTTTTCTTGTATAGACCCTACATTGTCTTAAAATTCCTTTTAATAGAGTTAGTAGTTCAGTTAACGACTACAACTTTTCCCATAAGAAGAGATGTTGTCACGTTAACCATCCTTAAACAAAAAATCAATGGTAAAGAAACAGCATCTCTATCAATATGTTTACAGAATGCTCTAGATAAGCGAGAGGAACTGACCCCATTGGGTTTCCACTTGGCACGCTTGCCTGTTGAGCCGCACATTGGAAAAATGATCTTGTTTGGAGCTCTTTTCTGCTGTTTGGATCCAGTACTTACTATTGCGGCTAGTCTCAGCTTTAAAGATCCGTTTATCATCCCTTTGGTAAGGAAACCAGTTTCATGCTTTTCGTAAACTGTTGATTGCTGATTAACTGTTCACAAAAGCAAAATGATTGTTTGGATATAATGATACTGTGGAATGTTGTAAAGGCGTTAACCCTTGTATTGTCTGCAACAGCATCTTGTAACTGAATGTATATAGTGACATTAGCATATACATGCTATAAAAGTAATCTGTTCTGCTTTACAAAACAAGTGAGTTATTGACAGGATACTAATGCATGGTAGTAGGATGAGCCGCTCTGTTTGTTCTGTTGTTCTTTACACTTCTATTTCTTACTCTTAGGGGAAAGAAAAGTTGGCAGATGCAAGAAGGAAGGAACTATCCAAGAATACTAAAAGTGACCATCTGACTGTGCTGAATGCCTTCTTGGTGAGCAAGTAGTTGAGGTTTTTGAATTTTACAAATGATGGTTTATTCGCTCAACTGGGAATCATGGAGAATTGAAAAGGTGGTTGCAAATTGTAACCTAAAGTTTCTGAGCTGGAAAAATAGTTTAGTTTTCAACAAGATAATTTTTCCCGTTTTATTATGTAAGGCCTAAAATGTTCATGTTCCCTTGTCATTACTCTACAATTCCAATTGAAGTGAATAAATGATCTAGGATATTTCATTCTTATTTCAGAGTAATCCAAGCTGAGCATATCATGTTACAACGTTCCACCTGAATAACTTATTGCCTTATCTTCCAATGTAGGCCCCATCAATTTAACATAAAGTGCCATAGAACTGCTTTCTTTTTATTTATTTATTTTTTGGTCAATTGCTTGTAAACATTTTCACATAGAGCTGAAGAACTACTCATACCCTAAAACTAAAAATATTTTTTTTTTTTTTTTTTGTGTATTTGCCCTTTCAATCTGTACGCCATACGTTTGTATTCGTATGTTGCGTGTATCCTGTCCCTCAGCTCCCTCAGGGAGGGAGGTTCTGGTCTCCTCTGTTTGCTAGCTATGTTGGTCTTGGCCGCCTGGAGTATGTGACATATGACTGTTTTGTGTGTGGATGTTAAGAGTTCTGGTGAAATATGCAATAGATAACATTCCGGGTGGAATGGAACATTAACAGAGGTGGCGTGCTTGACCAGGGCTCTCACTTGTTTCCAATAGATTGTCAGTCTAGGGCAGTACCAGAACATATGCAGTAGTGTGCCCTCCGCACCTCCGACACATCTGTGACGTGGATTTGTACATCTGGGCTAACCTCTAAAAATATTCTTAAATTGCTAATTTGTGTCAAGAAGGAGACTTTACATATTATATTTATACCATATATATACCATTATTTGTTGTTGGGAAGGAAGGGCTGATTTCCTTTCACTGTAATTCCTTACCCTCTGGTCTTCATGTTTGGGAAGCTGGTGCTGCCTAGCTTTGCCATTCAACAGGACTAATATTGGGTGCAATGAAATCAACTGAAACATTTCCTTCAATGAAGCCATGTAGGGGAAACCCAGCGCACATGAAAGTACATGTCAGAAAAGCTGCAGAGTCAAGGACACCTGTCACTGGCAATATTTTGTAATCCGCATATTGTTCATTTGTATTTGTATATTAGCAAAACTGCATAGGAGCTTCAGAAATGGCTTTGTTTATAGATATAATAATACTCTGTATACATAGAGTGAAGCCGTTTCCTCCTACTTTTCCTGGTTTGAAAATGTGTTTCAGCAAGTTTCCTTTGTGATTGCTTTTGCTATGTAATTAAAACCGGTGATTTCTCCATGCCACACTATAGTTTCCCATTTTCCATGTGTTTTTTTTTAATACATACACTTTCTTGATATTTAGGGGTTGTATGTAACCTTGCCTATTTTTCAATAATTTTATGTTGAGCAAAATATTCTCTGTGTGTCTCACATATTTATGTGTGTGGAGAGTAATGATTAGATGATTTGTATTACATGACATGCGCAAGCCAGCTAAAAGCATTACAAAAAAAACCAAAAAGCTGTTTTATTTGTTTTGAATTTCACATACAGGGAGTGCAGAATTATTAGGCAAATGAGTATTTTGACCACATCATCCTCTTTATGCATGTTGTCTTACTCCAAGCTGTATAGGCTCGAAAGCCTACTACCAATTAAGCATATTAGGTGATGTGCATCTCTGTAATGAGAAGGGGTGTGGTCTAATGACATCAACACCCTATATCAGGTGTGCATAATTATTAGGCAACTTCCTTTCCTTTGGCAAAATGGGTCAAAAGAAGGACTTGACAGGCTCAGAAAAGTCAAAAATAGTGAGATATCTTGCAGAGGGATGCAGCACTCTTAAAATTGCAAAGCTTCTGAAGCGTGATCATCGAACAATCAAGCGTTTCATTCAAAATAGTCAACAGGGTCGCAAGAAGCGTGTGGAAAAACCAAGGCGCAAAATAACTGCCCATGAACTGAGAAAAGTCAAGCGTGCAGCTGCCACGATGCCACTTGCCACCAGTTTGGCCATATTTCAGAGCTGCAACATCACTGGAGTGCCCAAAAGCACAAGGTGTGCAATACTCAGAGACATGGCCAAGGTAAGAAAGGCTGAAAGGCGACCACCACTGAACAAGACACACAAGCTGAAACGTCAAGACTGGGCCAAGAAATATCTCAAGACTGATTTTTCTAAGGTTTTATGGACTGATGAAATGAGAGTGAGTCTTGATGGGCCAGATGGATGGGCCCGTGGCTGGATTGGTAAAGGGCAGAGAGCTCCAGTCCGACTCAGACGCCAGCAAGGTGGAGGTGGAGTACTGGTTTGGGCTGGTATCATCAAAGATGAGCTTGTGGGGCCTTTTCGGGTTGAGGATGGAGTCAAGCTCAACTCCCAGTCCTACTGCCAGTTCCTGGAAGACACCTTCTTCAAGCAGTGGTACAGGAAGAAGTCTGCATCCTTCAAGAAAAACATGATTTTCATGCAGGACAATGCTCCATCACACGCGTCCAAGTACTCCACAGCGTGGCTGGCAAGAAAGGGTATAAAAGAAGAAAATCTAATGACATGGCCTCCTTGTTCACCTGATCTGAACCCCATTGAGAACCTGTGGTCCATCATCAAATGTGAGATTTACAAGGAGGGAAAACAGTACACCTCTCTGAACAGTGTCTGGGAGGCTGTGGTTGCTGCTGCACGCAATGTTGATGGTGAACAGATCAAAACACTGACAGAATCCATGGATGGCAGGCTTTTGAGTGTCCTTGCAAAGAAAGGTGGCTATATTGGTCACTGATTTGTTTTTGTTTTGTTTTTGAATGTCAGAAATGTATATTTGTGAATGTTGAGATGTTATATTGGTTTCACTGGTAATAATAAATAATTGAAATGGGTATATATTTGTTTTTTGTTAAGTTGCCTAATAATTATGCACAGTAATAGTCACCTGCACACACAGATATCCCCCTAACATAGCTATAACTAAAAACAAACTAAAAACTACTTCCAAAAATATTCAGCTTTGATATTAATGAGTTTTTTGGGTTCATTGAGAACATGGTTGTTGTTCAATAGTAAAATTAATCCTCAAAAATACAACTTGCCTAATAATTCTGCACTCCCTGTATAGAGGCTGCAATGACCTTTTTATTTTTTTTATGCATCATTATACCCATGTAGGATATTTGTTGTCATGGTGCATGCATGTATCCCAATTCATAGAAAAATACAAATAGATCAAATTAAAATAATGGCCCTAGGTGAATTACTTTTAATACATAGTGTGGCTTGCAGAACTAGACCTTCAAGGTAAAACCCCAAAAAATGCTTCTAGTTTATATACATTGAATGTATTCGCTTTAATCCACCAGCTCTTCTTCTTAGGGCTGGGAAGAATGCAAATGGCAAGGAGCCAGGGCAGAGAGAAACTACTGCTGGGAGAATTTTCTGTCTTCCAACACACTCCAGGTAAGGTCTTCTTGCAAGAGTTCGTCATTGTGTGACTGCATGCCCCATAAATGTATTTAACTCTATACCTAAAAGCATTGGGCTTAGTTTGTATAATTGTGGGAGTGTGTGTTTGGTTACCTTTGGAAGCCAAACTTGTGCTTTTAGACATGGTCATGGTGCAAGCAGTGGTGTATTTAGGATTTGGGCTGCCCTAGGCAGGACGGTGCTTGGGCCCCCTCCCCCACCCCCAAATTTAAATTTTCCTCACCCCTTCCTGTCAAGGCCACACTTTGACAGACGCATACACTCACTGACAGACGCACACTCTCATATACACTGACAAACAATGACACACACACTGACAGACGCACGCACTCACTGACCGACACATACACACTCACATTCACTCACAGACACACACACATTCACTCACAGACACACACACATTCACTCACATACACACGGACACATACATACACAATCACTCACATACACACTGACAGACAGACAGACATACATAATCAAAAAAAAGAAAAAACATAGCAACAGTGAAAGAGAGAAAAGTCCTTTACTGGAGTTGAGTAGGTTGCAGGGTATTGGGGCATAACCCAGACTGGAGTCAGTCAAGTTCGATATTGAAAGCATTAAGAATGTGGATCTTGACCTATATCCTAACATGAACCTTACCAAACACGAGGGTAGAGCCCTTCATTCCCTCAAAATGGATAGGGAGATTACCATCAAGCCGGCAGACAAGGGTCGGAAACATAGTTATTATGAAGTCAATTAACTAGGTAAAAATGGCCCTTAAAATCTTGGACGATAGGAATACCTATCGTATACTCCAAACGGACCCTACCAACTCTTTTTTTGAGGAATATAAATCGATCTTGGATGTAGGTCACAGTAGAGGGCTGCTATCCATGGAGGAATATGAATTTATCCTCAATAAGAACCCTAGGATAGTGACATTTTACTGCCTACCAAAAATCCACAAAAACAAACTGGATCCCCCGGGATGCCCAATTGTGTCAGGCATAAATTGTCTCTCACAAAATGGGAGCATTTACTTAGACAAAATCTTGCGCCCATTTGTGGAGTCCCTACCGTCCTTTATTCAGGACACCAAGCAGACCCTGGCACTTCTCTCGAACCTTAAGCTCTCTGAACCTGTGAACCTATGTAGCCTGGATGTAGAGGGTTTTTTACTCCTCAATACCTCACGAGGGAGGTATACAACATGTCCAGTACTACCTCGAGAAAAGAGGAACAAATTATTCTGCTTTGGAACTACTCAGATTTGTTCTTACACACTATTTTCTATTCAATGACAGGTTCTGCCACCAGGTGCGGGGAACAGCGATGGGGGACAGCTTGTGCCCCATCATATGCAAATCTGCACCTGGGATGGTGGGAGGAAACAGTCATTAGATCAGCCAAACTTTCATCCTTTGCCCTTATGATACATCTATCGTTTTGTGGCTCTTCTAAATGAAAATGACTGTAATCTTAGGTTCACCTCTGAGTTCGGTGGGAAAACTCAATTTTTTGGATTTGACTGTCTCTATTGACAACCAATTATCCATTCAAACCACTCTCTTCAAAAAACCTACCACTTCAAATAGCCTTTTAGACTGGGGTAGCTTCCATCCAAAACCCTTAAAACAAGGCATTCCTATAGGCCAATATTTAAGGGCCCGTAGGAATTGCAGTACCATTCACGAATTTAAAATTCAAGCTGACAAGCCTGCGACAGCAGTTTAAGGATAACGGCTATCCCAATCGGTGCTGGAAGAAAGCATACAGAAGAACTTTAGAGTCAGACAGAGAGACTCTATTGAGCAACAACAAACCTGCGACACCTACTCTCTTTCCTCCTCGTATGATTGCAACTTATGACGCTGGATGGGATAGAGTGAAATCCGGTATTCAGAGGTTCTGGCCCCTTCTAACAGGGGATATTCATCTTAAAAAGATTTTGGGACAAAGAGTGGAAATGGCGGCACGTAGAGGCAAAAATTTAAGAGACCTTTTAGTTCCTAGCCACTTTCAATCACCACGCCCTGACACAAAGACCTGGCTCAACAGGCCTATCACTGGCACATTCCAATGCGGGCGCTGTGTCGCCTGCAAGTATATAAAACGTGACTCCAAGAAGGTATCTGATAGTGAAAACAAATAGCCCTCAGGGTTAGTGTATTTGCTTACTTGCGAATGTGATTGTAAATATGTAGGAGAAACTTTTTGTCCTTTTAAAGAGAGGATTAAAGAATATGTCAGGTCACCTAAACTCCCTATTGAAACGCCAATTGCTCGTCACCTGAAGGAACATCATTCAGGTCACACGGCCTGCGGTTTTGTGGGCTAGAATTAGTAAAACGTGTCAAGAGGAGAGGTGACTATGACAGGTTCTTAAGGCAATGTAAAAATTTTTGGATCTATAGGCTCAAAACTCTACAGCCCAAGGGGTTGAATGGTTTTTCCTTTGCACCATTTATTTGAAACCTGTGTAAGTTTCTGTAAACCTTTTGAATTCAAACTTTTTTTTTTTTTCTTTTTTTTTAAAGAGAGAATACTTTTGAGTAGTGCCTAAGAACAAACTGGTAAACTGACTAATCAGCAAAGAACTAGTGATAACGTAATATTGGTTGTACCAGGAAAAAGATGGTTACATTTATCACATCATATTGGACTTTCTTGATAGCTTTTGGGATAGTTCTTTTAAATCTCTCCCTGAGCATTTGATATTTAAGAAACTCCTCGTTTATTTAAGATGGGATATAGCCATGGACTAGGGGTTACATTCTGAATTAGATGTAACTTAATAATCCCCCTATTGATCTAGGAGCCTGACTTAAAGATTATCAGCATTATTACCGTTTGCTCCCTTCACAATATTTTAATAACCTACTTCTCTGTTTATGTCCATCACTTACACATATGCTTTTTTCGTTTGATCAGCTTAATCTGTTAAAATTGATTACAAATACTACTCATTGTTCCCTGAATTAGGATCACTTAGGATCCAGCTCTCTATTTGGCAAAAAGGGAGTTAATTCATCCCCTATGCCGATTTGAGGCTCATGCCACTCATTTCCCTATTCCCCGCCCACCGACTGACGATGACGTCATGGATCTGATGGGCGGAGATTATAGGGTTTAAAATGTATCGCCTTTTCACACTCCGGTAAGCCCTTGACAATGGCGCATTCTGGCGCCGAAACGCGCATTGAGTTTTACCGAAATCACTGGGTCTTTTACTTAGGACGTCTACCCGTTTCTCTGTATATAACTGGGAGGGGAAGTTTGTACTTATTGCTTATTAGGACTTAGGTTTTCAGCTCCTACTTACTGTCTATCCGCAAACCTAGGTACTCTACCAGGTTACTTCTAATATTATTTAGCAATAGCAGCTAAGTGACTATCCGTAGATATCAGGCTATGTAAATATTTTATGGGCAGATTTCTTCGGCTGGCGATATAATAGGCCATTTACCAGGATTAATCCGGTCCTTATACAGCATAGATCGACTCTACATGCCGTAGGTAGACAGGGTTCACGTACAAGGATCCAGCGATCTGGATCGTGATGGGCTTAGATTGATCGGTATAGAGAATTTATAGTTCTCACTTAGGTCCGGCCAGACTTATTTACTGTCGATTTCTTTTTGTTTAATAAAAAATTCAGATCAGGGTGGTGCAGTAGACATTGCTTACCTAGATTTCAGTAAGGCTTTTGACACTGTTGCACATAGAAGGCTTATCAATAAACTGCAATCTTTAAGTTTGGATTCCAATATTGTTGAATGGGTAAGGCAGTGGCTGAGTGACAGGCAACAGAGGGTTGTAGTTAATGGAATATATTCGAAGCTTGGACTTGTCACCAGTGGGGTACCTCAGGGATCTGTACTTGGACCCATTCTCTTTAATATTTTTATTAGTGATATTGCAGAAGGTCTTGATGGTAAGGTATGTCTTTTTGCTGATGATACTAAGATATGTAACAGGGTTGATGTCCCAGGAGGGATAAGCCAAATGGCAAATGATTTAGGTAAACTAGAAAAATGGTCAGAATTGTGGCAACTGACATTTAATGTGGATAAGTGCAAGATAATGCATCTTGGACGTAAAAACCCAAGGGCAGAGTACAGAATATTTATTTATAAAATATTTTACAAATAAGATTTAGGGGTGATTATTTCTGATGACTTAAAGGTAGGCAGACAATGTAATAGAGCAGCAGGAAATGCTAGCAGAATGCTTGGTTGTATAGGGAGAGGTATTAGCAGTAGAAAGAGGGAAGTGCTCATACCATTGTACAGAACACTGGTGAGACCTCACTTGGAGTATTGTACGCAGTACTGGAGACCGTATCTCCAGAAGGATATTGATACCTTAGAGAGGGTTCAGAGAAGGGCTACTAAACTGGTTCATGGATTGCGGGATAAAACTTACCAGGAAAGGTTAAAGGATCTTAACATGTATAGCTTGGAGAAAAGACGAGACGGGGGGGATATGATAGAAACATTTAAAGACATAAAGGGAATCAACACAGTAAAGGAGGAGACTATATTTAAAAGAAGAAAAACTACCACAACAGGAGGACATAGTCTTAAATTAGAGGGACAAAGGTTTAAAAATAATATCAGGAAGTGTTACTTTACTAGTGGATGCATGGAATAGCCTTTCAGCTGAAGTGGTAGAGGTTAACACAGTAAAGGAGTTTAAATGACCACTCTAGGCACCCAGACCACTTCAGCTTAATGAAGTGGTCTGGGTGCCAGGTCCAGCTAGGATTGACCCATTTTTTTAGAGAAACTGCTATGCTTACAAATGGGTTAATCCTTCCTCCAATTCCTCTAGGGGCTGTCTCATTGACAGCCGCTAGAGGCGCTTGCGTGATTCTCACTGTGTATGTTTTCCTGGCACTATAGTGGTCCTTTAAGCATGCGTGGGATAGGCATAAGGCTATCCTAACTATAAGATAAGGCCAGGAACTAATGAAAGTATTTAGAAAATTGGGCAGACTAGATGGGCCGAATGGTTCTTATCTGCCGTCACATTCTATGTTTCTATGTTACACACTGACAGACATACATACACATACTGACAGCCAGACACACACAATCACTCAGACATACACACACTGACAGCCCCCCTCCCCAATCATTAACCGGTTACTTTTATTATTATTTTTTTTAGTTTAAATCCACCCAGCCTCCCTACCTTTTACCTGGGGTCTAGTGGGAAGGGAGGGAGGCATACAGGCGGTTGTCCGGCTAAAAATGCGGGCAGCGCTGGCGAGGGAGCACTGATTAGTGAGCTCTCTGCTAAGCTCCCTTGGGCGCCTCAGAGTGATGCCAGGAGCCGAAATATGATGTCATATTCCGGCTCCCGGCATCACTCTGCGGCGCGTGAGGGAACTGAGCAGAGAGCTCAGGGGAAAGTGCTCCCTCGCCAGCGCCGCCCGACCGGATTTTTAGCCGGACAACCGCCTGCCTGGACTGTTAGCTGCCAGGCTAACAAGGCATTTGCCCAGGCATTTGGGGGCGGCATTTTATTGCCGCCCCCTGGAAATTTCCGCCCAAGGCAAATGCCTTGTTTGCCTCGCGGCTAATACGTCCCTGGGTGCAAGCAATGTGTATATGCAGTGTTTCAAGTCTATACAGAGCAATTTTTGTGCCAGGGCGTATTTGTACCCCCTGGCTGACATAGTTTGCCTAGATCTCTGCTCCGCACTAACTAATGTGAGTCCATGCACTGCACGCTGGTGACTGACATTATGAGCTTTTTGTCTTCTCAGTTCTGTGAAAGTCTCGCCGTTCTGGTACATGCACACCAAACACACATGCAATTGCTTCTCATAGAGAAGCATTTAATCCAATGATTGTCAATCAGAGGAAGTTGTTTGGCTCATCACAGTGATTGCTCCTCATGCAGAAGTCCCTTAGCATGCAAAACAAGCTGGCAAGTTGAACACAGAAAATAAAATAAGAAGCCCGTGAATTACTGCTAAAAATTAACACGTAGTTTGAAGGACAAAGGGAAATTCATCTATTTAGTTGCACTATTCTTTAATCAAAATATTGTTGTTCACAAGAGTGTCAGGCTTTCAGCTTGCTTACCTGAATGCTCAGCTCTGAGTACTGCGATCTCCCCCGGCATTGCTACGGACGCAGCACGCTTCCGTGCGTATTGTTTACATACGCAGCTGAAATACCCACGGGATTCGGCACATACCAATGACGTCAGGGGTCAGTGTAGGAGGGTCAGGTACCCCCCTCGAATAGTGGTAAACTCCAAACGACTTTCATGCAATCACAGATAGCTTATGCCTACATATGCTCACCTCTCCCATTCCTTGTTGCCCTGTTGTGTTTATTTTGTAGCCCAGTAGCGTGTGCCTTCTGTAGAGTTGTTTGGTACCTTGACCGGCTCTTGTATTCCGTTTATCCTGCTCTATTATGCATTGACCTCGGCTTGTTAATCGTTATTCCTTACCTCTGTAATCCTTTGACCTGGGCTTCTATACTGACTGCTTATTTGTATAACCCTGCTATTCTAAGGACCAGTATTACAAATATTCTTGTTTGTGATTCTGTCTGTGTGTTCAGGTTCCCGGATTCCTGACAGTCAGTAAATAGGAATATACTACCACTGGTGCTCACAGCGGGACCTAAATAACTTGTATAACTTCAGGGCAAAATTATACAGGCTGCACAATGGAACCAATATCAACTTAGAAGTGTGTTTATATGAATATGCTGCCAACTCCTCATACATGATTAAGGCCACAAGGCTGGAATGTTGTAGATTTGTTTTTTTTTATCTCTCATGTGACAATAAACTTGTAAGTTGCAGTTGCTGCTACTGTGTAGCCTGCACAATTTTGCCCTAGTCTTTTGCAAGATGATTGCAACTTAGAATCCATTCACGCAGAGAGGCATAAAAGAAAGAAACAAGCCACTCCAGGAAATACCATAAAGCCTGGAACACCAATGATTGTCAGAATGTCAAATTTTGGAGTGAAAATTTGGTTGATTACTTTGTATCAAGAAGTTTGTAACTTGTGATGCAGGACCCTTATATGAAGAATGAAATTCAACTAATGCCATTTTTGCTCTTTCACTCTACTTACTGCTTCAGATCATGAGCCCGTAACATTTCTCCATACATGAAGCCTATTATAGAATTTAGTTTCTATGTGTTCAATAATGTTTGTGTTGTTTATTGCTGTAGATGTTGAGGAATATGAAAGAACAATTTGCAGAACATCTGCTTGGAGCAGGCTTTGTGAGCAGCAGAAATGCAAAAGATCCCAAGTCTAATATAAATTCAGGTATGTTTGTGTGTGTGTGTGGTCTGTAACACAATAATCCAGTGTGTTCAACTTTCTTTGCTTTTACCTATCATAACTTTGTTTTTGTTTACAGATAATGAAAAACTCATTAAAGCTGTTATTTGTGCTGGTTTATATCCAAAAGTGGCGAAGATCCGACCCAGCTTCGGTAAAAAGAGGCAAATGTGAGTTTGGTGATTTAGCTACTGTTAGATATGACTGTGTCGTCTCTTTTAAAAAAAAAAAAGTTATGTCTACATAAATAGCTTTTGTTTAATTCACCTAAGGACCATGAAAATTAAGGCTGCATTGCATGTACAGATGAGAGCTACACTGATACAAATTCTTACAACGGTTAATAAATTGACCCTGACATTTCTTTTTAATGTACTTCTTATCCTAGGGTAAAGGTATATACAAAATCTGATGGCAAGGTCAGCATTCACCCAAAGTCTGTCAACGTTGATGAAAGTGAGTTTCACTACTCTTGGCTTGTCTACCATTTGAAGATGAGAACCACCAGTGTAAGTGTAAAATCTGTCTGTATTCTGGACTTTTCTTAAAGTGTTGTAACTAGTTTTGCGTTCATTGAGGAAGAAGGAAATTAAAGATGGGTTAAACAGCTTCCTACTTTTATGACCACTGCAGAATTTTAACCCATTAGTGATGAAGGTTTTTTGCTACTCTGTCTTTTCGCGACTTTGCTATGTGTATATTCCACTGCACTTTACTCATTTTTTTGATTAAACCATTAAATGGTGTGTGTGTGTGTGTGTATATGTATGTGTATATGTAGAAAGTGGTCCCACCAGTGTTTTTAACGAAGAGCATACTTCTCATTTAACCCTTTTCTCACCAACCTCTTGCAAGAGTTTAGAAAAGTTGTCACGACAAACTACAGACACGTAATTTTAACGTTTTGACTGACTGACTGTGCTAATGCCTCTTGAGATAAAATAGAAGACCCAGCTGCACTTTGCCACTATCTTGTCATACTGTTTGCAAAGGACAACAAGAACTATTTAATAAGGGACATTTTGAGCCTTTTCACCAATATATGCCAAATGTAGCAGTAAATTGGATGTATTATTCCACCCACATAGCTATTAAAGTATAATGCTTTGTTTCCCAGATTCTGTCTATTTTTAACATGCAGTGACCATCCCTTTACAGATTTACCTGTATGATTGCACAGAGGTGTCTCCATACTCATTGCTTTTCTTTGGAGGAGAGATCTCTATAAACAAGGATAAAGACCAGGATACTATTGCTGTAGATGAATGGATTGTGTTCCAATCACCTGCAAAGACTGCTCATTTAGTCAAGGTAATGTGCCATCCAAGAAAATATGGCAGATGAAAAAAAAAAAAAAAGCATTGCTTTCATAAAAATTCACACCTTCTTTGAAATGATTGTTTTGTTCTTTGCTCTTTTTGGTAGGCTTTTTTCATCTTTATCTGCATGTCAATTGACTTGGAAAATGTTTTTAAGTAGAGAAGTGAAGAGATTTAGCCCCATGGGTTGCTAGGTGCCCCGTCTAACAAAGCTATACAGGATTATCCAATAGATTTCACATTTTTTAAATCCAAAGTAGTCAAACTGGAAGCAAAGCTGGCTTGGAGATTTTTTTTCCACAATTCTTACTTTAGGGAACATTCTAATAATATTTAAAGAATAAAACGTATTTAAAAATTACAAACATATTGATGCTTTTTAGTCTTGCATCTGTTGTTAAACTTGTTTGCATTTACTAACAAACTACTAGGCGAATTAGATGATAAATTGCCTTTGTGGGAGGAAATATTCTTTATTTGTCGAAAAAAAAAAATTAAATTGCAGAGGAGTATTGAAAGAGGGGAGAGGGAACATATAGTAGTAAGACACTGGACTTTAATATATCATAGGGAATTACTATATTTCAAGCCAGTTCGGCCTTTGTGTACCGCTTACCATGCGTTTCTTTAATATATTGAAGCTGGGCATAAATATAGCCAGACCCACCAGAAACTGCCAAAGCAAAATTCTATATATAAGTTTGAGGAATTCTTTTGGACTTTCCATTAGAAGGTAATATTTACATCTTCCTATTGTACTTATTTTAATTTCAAGTGATAACTATGCATTATTTTATCTTTTTATTTTTTTTATTTGTATATTTCAGGATTTGAAATCAGAACTTGATGTCCTTTTAGAAGAGAAGATTAAAAATCCTCAGCCTGTGGACTGGAATGAAACAAAATCCAGAGACTGTGCTGTTCTCTCTGCCATCATTGATCTGATAACCACGCAAGAGAGTGGAGTAACTAAGAACTTTGCCCCTAGGTTCCAGAATCAATATTACAATTGATTACTGGGCAGCTTCTGCACGAGAACTCTTGCACTCTCAATATTCCCACAATGTTCTGTAAACTCCAAGCACCTGTTGTAAATATCTACCCATGAACATGCTGACATTTCATACGTAGAGATGCCATACATATCGGTTGCAGGTTATTAGTATTAAAATAAACAGATACCATCCTCTGTGAATTAAACATTTACTGCCAGTGGGCCAGCATTTAGCAGCTTTGTTATTCCCTGTGAAACTGTAATCATGCCGACTTTAGAACGTTACTTTTAAGGCTGAATTATACTTACCGTTTCTTTCATTTTCATAAATCAAATAGCAATTTGATTGCATAATTCTTTTTTTTTCTTTTTCTGAGATGTACTGTATTGGACAGTATGCCTGCCATGATACTGGCAGCTATTGTGTTTAATATGTGAGGAGAGGAAAAAAGCACATATCTTCTCCTAAAAAGGCAGGCATTTTTATACACGTACAATATATGTGTATATTGAGATAAATGTTAGTCTGTGTGTTTTTTTTTTTTTGTTTTTTTTTTGTAGTTTGAGTGCCTCTTATTTATACTGTGGATACAAGCCTCACATGTGTTATCAATTTGATTTATATAGAGCAGGGGTCCTCAAACTCCGGCCCCCCAAATATTGCTGAACTACAACTCCCATGATTCTTTGAATTACATAGATAGCCAGAGAATCATGGGAGTTGAAGTACAGCAACATCTGGGGGGCCGGAGTTTGAGGACCCCTGATACAGAGATTTCTGCAATAAAGGTAATGGCCAGGTCCTCCTGTCAATTATAAATGAAAACAAAAATCCTTGCCTGTAGTTTAGATTTCCTGTTTCTAGTACTTAAATGCATATTGTGTTGTTTTGTTGGTTTTTTTTTTTTTCTTTTGGTGGGGTGGTTTTATTGTGGTCAAAAATCTGCCGACTCCCATTAATTTATGCATACATTGTCTGCCTTACACTTATGTCTGATAAAGCCATTACATTTTTTTTGTGTGTGTGGTCACATCTGAGGATTTAGTCATCCCTGTGTGTTAATAACATTGCTTTGTTGGCCACTTCATACTGCCATGGCATCTCTATAACCCAAAGATGGTCAGAAAATGAAAAAAAAAAAAAAACATATTAATGAACATATATATCTCTGTTGCATATGTTCTGTGGTAGAACTAGCCACCTTAATTCAGTGGGGAAAGTTGTAGGCCATGTAAAATTCATTTAAAGTTAATCATGTCGAAGTGATTTTGTAGGTGTAATTTCTCTTTAAAGCAAAATAAAATGTTTTGGAAGATTATACACAAGTATAAATCATCTTCAATCACACAGAATTCCGCTCCCCTAGCAATTCCTGTAATCTTGTACCAAATCATCTGACAACCAATACTTTTCACAGTTAGAAGTAATCATAGTGTTTTTCTATAGCTATTTCCAGGGCATCGGGAAAAAAAGCTCAAAAGTATTCTGTAGAATTACAACTTTTTGTGTACATTTGTTATTCACTATAGTCTAGTTTATAATTATTTTAATATAATTCTTGTATGTAGACAGCATGTACCTGTTTAGCCTGAGTGTCCATACGTATCTATATATGAATGATAGTCCACTGGTTTATTATTCCCATTATTTGTGAGCTTGGCTTTTTAACAGACATCTAATCCAAAAAACAGCTGGTGGTTTACAGTTGGGCACTCATTTTCTTTCCACTTTCTATATTATACCACTACTTATAAAATGTCGGTAGTCATAGAGTACATTTTTCTTCAGAATCTCATGTTTTATCTTTTTGTTATTGACACTACTTATAGCTATAAATCTCAAATCCAAAGGGTTAGTTCTTAAAGGGACACTCTAGAGCCCTAAAGCACTTTAGCTTGATGAAATGCTTTAGGTATGAAGATTTCAATAGAAACTGACTTTTACAAATGTAAACTTAAAGTTGGTTACACCCCCTTGGCTTTCAGTCAGAAAACAGGTCCTGTTTGTTCCTGGTTTGGTAAGCGCAATGGAGCTAAACTCAAGAGGCAGCAATTGCCCAGAGCCCCTGCATTTGCATTGCAAAGACTTCTCATTGAGCTGGAATAGGAAGGCTGTGATTGGACAGCTATATACGGTCTGGGCATAGTTAGAAGGGGAGGGTTTGCAAAGGCAGCAGACATAACTGCAGGTTTTGCAAGCTGTTTTTAGATTAACCCCCAGTGAAGCATGGTGCTTTCACAAAAAGGGTAATCTGCAACTGACTCTCTGAAACTGGGAATCCACCAAGATGTCATTGTAATGGACCGTTTTGCCCACAAGAGGTTAAAAACAGTTTAGGCGATATTCCCCTTTTTCAGCTGCACAGACAGCTACTGCAAGCACCAATCTCCCGAACTGCAAACCCACGAATTCACCAACTCCCGAACTGGAGACACACGAATAGCTGCTAGCAGACGAACAGGAAAAGCCCCCAAGCGGCTTACACTCCTGGCAATCAGTCTCTAACAGCATACAGTAAATCCTCCCCCCAATTAATGAGACGACACTCCACTTTGAGGGTTAGGCAGGAACTCTCTGTAATGGCCACACACTGGCTTTTATGCAAGTCCCCATGCAAGGGGACATCCCACAGGGTGGGACACGGTACAACCAATCATTTACAGGAGAACCGTAAAACACACCCACAATTACATCACAATCCCTCCTCTCTGTCCTGGAGATAACTGTGAAGTAATCAAATTATCTCCAAGGACAGAGGCAAAACTCTATTAACCACATGGCAGACAAAGGACAATAAAAGACATAAAATTACATACAGTTACATTTATTCCATAAAACATAGACATTCTACATATCCCCAGATAGCTTAGATCTGAGTGCACATTACTACCGAATGGCGCTCAGATCACATACATACAGTTCAATTGCCATGGAGCCAAAATCTTTCAGTCTTTCAGTATACGACTGGGCTCCATGGCATAGCTATCTGGGGTAGCATGGCTTTAACAGTCCGCAGAAAGGCACGAATAAACCTTTCTGCCGGTAAAATAAAAGTTTAAAATGCAGGACCATAGTTCTAAAGGGAGCAGGCGAGCAGCCAGGCTTCTCCAGTGTACAGTGGCGAGGTTGGTTTCGCCACAGTCATTTCAAAGGAAAATACCCAGATTGAGAGCTTGAGGGCACGGGTGTACTGCTGAACTCTGGGAAAGGTGATCCCACTTCTTGGGGACTATCCATAGATCTTCCTGGCTGACCTGTAATAGCATGGTTTCGTCAGCCATGTCATTCATTATTGAACAAAGCATTGTATACAAACATGACTGTTGCTTCTAAACTTTGAAGTTAAAGGAAACGTGATTAACCATTTGAGACATGAAATTGTTATATTCGTTATTATTACTTTTGTTATCTCTACTGCCTTCCCCTTACCTGGCCGCTGTGTGTTTACAGATCACAGCACAGGTCGACTTTCACAGCATCTTTCACTTGCTGGTAAAGCAAAGTAGTTCTGACTGTCACATGCTCAGCAGAGTGCAATAATAGCTTTATTAGAGAGAATGGGGATTTGAAACGGAGGGGGGGGGGGGTGTTTAGTTTTTTTTCACTCAAACGTCTGCAACTTACTTTAAATGCACTTTTTTTTTTCCTGTGCATGTTCTAAGCTTTTGGAGCTATAAATGGTTTTTATTCTTCAATGTCAAACTGTATAGATGGTAAATGCTTGTATTTATATTTTCAGTAAGATACATTTCTGGAATAGTCTAAGCTGTTGTCACATTCATACAGTGCATGTAGTGTGGTAGGTGACATATCTCACTGCGCCTGTGTAAAACTTCATTCCACTTCTGACATGCTGGAACCAGTGCCAATATATACACACTGAGATAAGTGCTGGTGTTGGAGGAACATAACACACAGGGAACATCGTTGGACAAGGTAGTTTTCTAGCAAGGATTAGCAAATTGTAGTTCTTTTTCTTTTAGTTGATAAAAGAATGGCATTGCTGTTGGTCACAATCTACTTATAGCTCTATGTAAAACACTCACTTTAGCAAACTTTAAAGTAGATGACAGTCGGTGAAATATATATCAGTCTTACAAGGTTATTGGAATATTCTCCATACCATTGCTTTTTAATCTATATTAGCAATTTTATTTAAGGATATTGATCATAGTGTTATTATTGAAAATAAAAAAATTATGCAATGCATACCTACAACTAAATACTTATTTTGAGTGCATATCCCTGCTTAGCCTTGCTCTTTGAGGGCAGCCATGATGAAATGTTCTGTTTGAATGTCAGAAACCATCTCAAGCATGCTTTTGAGATGCATTGCACTTGAAAATGGCATCAGGATTTGTGGAATTGCACTAACTTGGTTACCAGCATGGCTATTGGTTGGATAAGTGGTGCTCCTTACCAAAGATGATATAAAAATGGCTGCCCCCATGAAGCAAACGTAAGCCAAATGATGCATTAAAATATATTGACTTAGAAGTATGTATTATGAAATTATAAACACAAAGGCTATCATAAATGGGATCTGAAATAATACAAATTGATATCTGTCTGTCTTTTAAATGGATTAGACACAATAACAGGTAGAAAGGCCTGGTCACATACCAGCTGGCTGTCTGATGTCCATTTCTCTATGCATGACAGTGGGGCACTTGATGCATTGGGTATTGGAAATCTAGGATGTGATGTATGCACACACTACACTGAAAACAGCCCCATCCACAACCACATAACCAGACTCTCCCCACATCCTGCAGATGAGAGTTGGGAGTGCAGGAATGAGCAGATCTCAGGAGAAGCTCGCCCACAGAGCGAAACGAAACGTATTTGTTGAGTAAAGTAAATGTAGTGAGTTATTTATTGGTTAGAATTAGCAGTTTGATTTGGATCCTGAAGGATACAGGTAGCCAATATCATGATTGGCACATGGGGGAGGTCAAGAAAGAACCAAGTGAGGTCTGGAAAGTTGACATGCCTGTTTGTTGTTAATAGTAAATAAATATAGCACTGTTTTTTTAAGTGTTTCATTTCAAAATATTTGGTTTTGTTTCTATTAAATTATGTTCTATGTATGCAAACTGAAACAAACAGGAATGGTGTATGAGGATTCAAAGGCAAAGCTTAGCAAAATCAAGTATGCATTTCTGGCTGACTCAGTGCCTCGTCTATGCTGTGCTAACTGCAGATGCTGCACATTTTGAAGTTTACAAACACGAGTACCTTTTTCTATTAGTTTTAAAGCATTATTTGTGCATACAAGTTGATACATTGTAAAAAGAATGGGCCATGTTCTAAGGAGACTTATCCAGCTTGGCTATTTAAGACTACATTTTCCTTATTTCATAAAAAGCTTGCTGTTTAATGAGAGTCTACAATGTTTAGATATTATTTGTTCCATTAGAAGCCAAAAGATAAATTTATTTCCTTAACTAGTATTTGCCCTCTCAGATTATTATTTTGTCCTGTTGTAGATTGCAGCAAGTCTAGAAATGTATTACACAACTTTTCTTTTCTTTATAAATAATAAAGCTGACTGTCACTTCCTATAATCTTGGCAAAAAGGCTCATACATCCCAATTGTCCCAGTTGAGCAGAACAGTCACTCTCCGTTTTTTTTCTACCTAAAAGATAAAATAAAATCCCAATTCTCAATAAGGGCAAAAGCAGTTTTTTGTTTCTTCCGGGTCCCTAAAAAGGTCCTGTGTAGGACCAGTTTGTTGCTTTTGTTTTTTTTTTGTATATTTGAATACCTTGCATCAATGAAATAAAAGCATTTTTATTTTTGTAAATTCCACCCTGAGTCCAGGAAAGCATATTTGGTGAGGAGTACACAGCCAGGAGCTGATCATCAGATTGGATAGCCCCCAAGATATCCAAGGGGAGACATAGTTATGATCAATCACCATCTTGTGAGTGCATCCCAATTTGTGCAATATTGTACTATACTAGACACGATTGCGCTATGTTATGATTTTTCTTTTTAACTGTTGTATCACCTGTATTCTGTGTATCATGGCTACACAACAAAAAACTTTTTAATTACAGTTTTTGTGAATATACAGATGTTGATCAATTTGGCGTTAATACTGAGTGAAAGAAAAACTGAAACAGATATTACCATAATTAAAAACCTTTATTTACAATGATATTTTTAAGTCACAGTATTCTGCATTAAAACATGTAGTACATGTGTTTTATCTACCTGGTAAGTTAACCAAAAACAGATGTTTCTCCAGTTTAAATTCTGCAACAATATTAAAATATTTAACAAGATACATCGTGCATGGCTCAGCACTTCAATCTATAAATGTATTAATATTGTAGTCATTACGGGCATGGGTCTGCAAAGAAACATTTAACGAATTGGAAAACTTGGATAACTACAGAAGGCCACACTAAATTCATATTTATACTATACAGTTATATAATCTATATGGGTATTCTCTATTGTAAACAAAGTAATGTCCTTGGCTGGAATCATTTGATTTGTAATGTAAATATAAAAATGACTTATGCCAGTACTACAAAATGTACCTGTTCTGACAGTAGATCATCTAACACCAACCATTTGGTGATATAACTGGGACAGGGGAAGCCACATTGCCACCACCGGCAACACAAGATGGTCCAGCCTTGCCTGGGAAGGGGTCATGGCCACCAAACAAAGGGGTGAACAACCTGCAGGCTGAATGACTGACTACCACCCAGTAGACCCCATTCTGGCCAGACCATGCAGAGGGAGCTGCTGAAGCACTCTCTGCATGGTTTTAGTTCCCTCAATATCATCTTTGATTGATGCACTCGCTATGTGTTGGCTGGATACAGTTTCCTTGTGGCCCTAAACACAGCACGAAGGAATGAAATTGGGATGGCAAGGCAAAAGCCTCAAACCGCGACTCTCGTGCCTGATTCAAGACAGGTGGGGGTATTCTAACAGAACATTGGAATTATCAAGGCCCTATTTCATGTTTAACCCCTTAAGGACTCATGACATGTGTGACATGTCATGATTCCTTTTTATTCCAGAAGTTTGGTCCTTAAGGGGTTAAAGGGGTACTCTATGCAACATACCAATACAGGGCAGCGTAGTGGTTACATTGTCTAGAAATCTTTAGAGCTATATCAGTATCATGTTTATTTTGTCCAACTTGAATGGCAATAATTTGCTGAGGGCAATGGCAGTGAGCTAACTTACCAAAGCATATCAGAGATGTCCAGATTGGATGAAATTGGCATTAATCAATCATTCGCAAGTGGCTGAGTTGTGGACAGTCTCAGCATTAATTAATAATTACCAAGTGGGGGAGGCTGTGTTGAGCCCTGACGGGTGACAAACTGCTCCCAAACAGTTTGACATGAAATTGGGTAATGTGCCCAGAGACTATAGGCAACATAAATACTACAGTAAGCTGCAGTAGTTATGCAGCTTAGTGTCGTTTTATCTTGGAAAGTCACATTTGCAACTTTTAATTTTTTTTTAGCAGCACTTTTGTTTACAATGATACAAAATAGTTCAAATGATTCTGGTTAACTGAAAACCAAATTGCAAAGTTTTGTCTAAACATGCGATGCTGAAACAAAAAATGCTGTCTTAGAAATTTTTTCAATACAGTCATTTCAGCTTAATTCTTGCAACTAAATTTCATCACAATTTGCCATTTTCTAAACTAACCCAATGACGTTTTTGCCCCAGTGATTATTTTGGTGCCAAAATTCAATAGTTATGACATCGGGGTTTTTATACTCAACACTGAATTCTGGTGGTTGGAACACAGATTGCAAATTTTAAATCAAAATAGCTTAAATTGTTAATTTAGCCAAGTTTGAGAATTTTCCAGACTTTGCTATTTTGATACATGTTGCTACTTTTTATTCCTTACATTAGTGTCCTTAACATTATTGAGGCCTTATTTATAAATTTAAAAAGCCACTTTTCTATCATTTGTATTGTATTATAAGAAAACAAATCAATATATCTGTCATAAAATTACCCTTTGTTTTCAATGCACCATCCACTCTTAACTTTACTCCTTTAACTCCTGGCCTTCAAAAATATGAAAAGCCGGGTTATTTCATGCAGTCTCCGGCATGTAGGGTTATTTCATGCAGTCTCCGGCATGTAGTGTTTATGCTAGCGGAATCCTTATTTGATAGGAAAAAAAACAATCCCAAAACTCCCTATCACAAAAGTTTTCTTTAAGAGGCCTATAATTTTTGCAGCCTTTACAGTTCATTCAAAGTTCAAAAGCTGCTTAAAAGTCAAGCATTCAGTCTCCAAAGCTAATACGCTTCGGAATCCTATTTTATGCTAAAGAGTGCTTCTCTAGGTGCAGAACACAGTTGGAATGATTACTGCTTGTGTTTTAGTAATTCTAAATAAATTAGAATTCATTTCTCTCTTACCTAAATTTGTGGCAACGCCATGCAGAACAGAGCTTTGAGAAGGAGATAGCTGTGTTTATAAAACCCCATCCCAGACAGTTTCATAAAGTAGGTGAACTAACTTCATTTAAATTGGTATAGCCTAAAACAAACAATTGTTATTTCATGTCTGTCTGTGCTTAGTAGTCTCAAAACAACTTCTGTTTCCCTTGTGAATTCCTTGTATAAAAGCTAGGCAAAAAGAAAACAACAACAGGACGGTTAAGCAATGATTTTGTTGTGTTCCAGCTCTTTATATGTAGGAGATGGCTTGAGGTCTCATAGAAGACAAAGTTCCTTGTAGGTGAACTTATCTTGACATATGTCATAGTCTCTTTCTGCTCTCCCACAATCAGTGCTGCTACTGTAGTGCAAATCCTTCAGCGGAGAAACCTTGTCTACACATTGGTTTCTAGTGCCAGCAAGCGTCCCATGCGTTCCATATTCTTTTCTATAGTGGCTCGACAAGTTATTTCCTTTGCACACTCCACAAGGAACCATCCTCTCTGCCCATCCCGCAGTCTCTCGCCTTCATACCATCCTGTAAGGTAAAGAAGAGGTGAAAGGTTGTGATATGACTACTCTGTAGTGCCTATAAAGAACACTTTTAAGTAATACTTAAAGTCAAGTTATGGAGTCAAGGAATTAGACAGAAAGTGATTGAAGGTCAAAGGTCAAAGATTATCTGAGTCATAGAATATTTTTCTTGAAAGTGCTATCTATAAAATATCAAGTCCTATGCTACTAGCCAGGCAAGTTATACGCACTGGACACAAATAAATGTTTAGAAATCCAAAGAACACATATACAAGTAGATAGAGAAAGAGAGAGATGTATATATACACACACTAGCATTTATTTTCAACAGGGATTTAATGTATCTACTATAGGAATAAAATAACATTCTATCACTGCCAGGTTCAGGGCCATCAAGTATATTCTGGATTCTGAAACGGTCATCTATTCTGTTACTATGGAAACTGCTGTAGTAAAGATAAACAGCAAACCTGACATGCCAACTAAACTATGTAACAGTGTTCATTAAGTACATCAGATAGGCATTGTTCAGCATGGATGTCACTCACACAAATCTGGAGTCACAAAACACATTGTATGTGTCCTGCACCAAATTACAGTCCTGCACCAAATTATTAAATCCATAGGATAATTAAAAACATTCTGAATAATAATTTGGCAGTCTGTAAAGGCATGTCATCACAAACAGTCTCCTTATTCCACCAGGTATGATAAACCATAACTGTGTGACATCTCTCTCTCTCTATTCCAATTTACATGACTGGAAGCACCCTTACTGCTAAAAGAAATAATAGAACTCTGTAAAGAGAGAGTTTATATTTATTTATATATACACACACACATACATATATATACACACACACACACATATATATATATATATATATATATATATATATATATATATATATATATACTCGCTGCAAAATCTCGTGGTTCCTACTCTATCCCAATTCTCCTTGACCTGTCTGCGGCTTTTGCCACTGTTGATCATCAACAGCTTCTTCTCACCCTCCGCAATATCGGTCTACAGATGCTGCTCTCTCTCCACAGTGCTCCTCCTACCTCTCCCAGTGCTCTTTCAGTGTTTCTTTCTCTGGCTCTGCTTCTTCTCCCCAACTCCTCTCTGTTGGTGTCCCCCAAGGTTCAGTCCTTGGTCCCCTACTGTTCTCCAGCCATACTGCCTCCCTTGGTAAACTCATTAGCTTCTTTGGCTTCCAATATCACTTCTATGCACGCAAATCTACCTGTCCTCTCCTGATCTCTCCCCGTCCCTCTTGACTAGTGTCTCTGACTGCCTCTCTGCTGTTTGTTTTCTGGCTTCCTATAAAATATAGAGCTTAATTTAAAATTCTGCTTCTTGCTTTCAAATCTCTACGTAATGCTGCTCCCACCTATCTATTCTCACTTATACACAAGTATATTCCGTCTAGGCCCTTACGATCTGCTGAAGACTTAAGTCT